CATCAGGTGCTTTCTTTCCATAATGGGACCTAAACTTTTGCTGCACAGTAATCGGTGATTTGGTTTCTGCTAGCCACACAACACATTGAGCTTTCTCCTGGGGGAAGCCATTTTTACGATATAGCTCACACAGTGCTCCTTGTGGCAAGTGTTGAATAACACAACTGTACAGAAACTTCATGGGTTCCCTAGTAGACTTGTAATAAAAAAAAAAAAAAAACAAATGTTACCAGCTTTATGATTTTATTATTCGTTGAGGAATATTTTAGATTATTCTTTATTTTATATATTATACTCTAGCATAATTAATGCATGTTGTTATACATGCAACAGAGAGCATTATTGATTAGTAAATTATTGAGTTGAGCAAACAAGCCCATTTATTTACACTCTGATGTCATTGGATTTAAATAAACCTCTTTGAAACAGCCAAGTTGTTTCAAGTTGGGAGTTCAGTCTCGCTAATGTTAGTATGGACATCAAGTCTGGTCAGTGTATGTTGTAAGTTATTTGGAATTCTGATCAAATTGTGTTGTTGAGGAATATTATGGAAAAACTCTTCCGTAGACTGGGATTCCGTAGCTGGGATTTTGGGTGCTTACAAAGGTGCCACGCAAAGGCAAATATTCTATGTGAAAAATGTTCTGTAATTATTACAGACACAAGATATTGGATGCTATTGGTAAAGGATACTAAATTAGGCATAACTGTATGCTTGATTTTCAATTTTTTTTGTAGATAGAGCTTTTTATCTTTGGTTGTTACAAAACATGCAATTCAATTCTGTTTATAAGCATAAACAAACACACATCACTCAATTTTTGCTCAACATTCCTTGAGTTATAAACAATTTAACATGACAATTGAATCTAAACTCCATCCGAGGGGCAATCTTCGTTTTCGGGCTTCTCAGCAGCTTTCCCCATGATTTACTCGTGTTCGTTGCAAAATCTCAACTAGTTGAGATTTTGCAACGAACACGAGTAAATCATGGGGAAAGCTGCTGAGAAGCCCGAAAACGAAGATTGCCCCTCGGATGGAGTTTAGATTCAATTGTCATGTTAAATTGTTTATAACTCAAGGAATGTTGAGCAAAAATTGAGTGATGTGTGTTTGTTTATGCTTATAAACAGAATTGAATTGCATGTTTTGTAACAACCAAAGATAAAAAGCTCTATCTACAAAAAAAATTGAAAATCAAGCATACAGTTATGCCTAATTTAGTATCCTTTACCAATAGCATCCAATATCTTGTGTCTGTAATAATTACAGAACATTTTTCACATAGAATATTTGCCTTTGCGTGGCACCTTTGTAAGCACCCAAAATCCCAGCTACGGAATCCCAGTCTACGGAAGAGTTTTTCCATAATATTCCTCAACAACACAATTTGATCAGAATTCCAAATAACTTACAACATACACTGACCAGACTTGATGTCCATACTAACATTAGCGAGACTGAACTCCCAACTTGAAACAACTTGGCTGTTTCAAAGAGGTTTATTTAAATCCAATGACATCAGAGTGTAAATAAATNGATATGTCATCGAAAAGAAAACGTGTTGTATTATCATTAAAAGACAAATTAAAGTATTTGTTTCGATTATCCGGATTTTTCCTTATCCGGACTACCTTCATCCCCAATTAGTCCGGATAATCGAGGTTCTACTGTATTAATAAACATCACTGGCTGGTAACACTGAACAAGCTCAAAAGCTATTACATATGAACTGAATTAAGTCATTCTGAAGCAAAGTTTGAAAGGAATCAAATATCTAAAATCAGCAACTAAATCAGTTATAATTGCTTACATTTTGAAACATACTAAATAAAGTCTAAATTTAAGCATAAATTTCACTCAGCATAATTTGCAGGTGTTGAAAACAACAAATTTGACTCTATCACAAATTGTGTTTAGTGATGATTCAGAGAAGATAAGCATTAAATTTTATCGATAGTTAAAAATATGATCAAAACATACAAGTATGTGGTAAAGATTCTTTCCGTATCTTGTGATAGATTTATGAAATCTCAGTATTTCTATGAGTGCAATAAATTATCAATATTTGGATCTGCAGGAGTAGTCAAAATTATTGTGAGAAATTTATAATGAATAAAAGGAAAAAATATATATTTGTGGATCATTTAATTAAAAGAATTCACTGAATAAGGTCTCACTTGTCAAAAAAGAAACCCACTTTTGGTATATATGACTTCATTCTTCATTACTAATTAATAAATAAAAGATTTAAAGATTTTAGAACAAAGCTATTTCACCAACTTTCTGTAGATTATTTCATAGATTATTTATTTTTTTCGAAAGCATATTGATGCTAATAAGATGATTTGACATTATCGAAGATAATAAATTCATTGTGACAAAGAAATTGGTGGTGGTAAACACTTGAATAAGTTAAAAAATATTTTTCATAATTGTATGAGCAGCTTAAAAATAGACTGTAACTGATGATTAGATGTCTGAGGAAGTAGAGGTGTTTTTATCTCTTCATGAATATAGTGGTACATCAAATATGCAATTTTTATTACTTTAATGAATATAATGAATATGCAGATTGTTTACAAATATACATTCCTTCTGGGGATGTATATTTGTAAACAATCTGAACCCTAACTCTCAGAGCAGTAGTTTATGGACAGATCAGGTCCAAATTGAGATTGGAACCTAACAAATTTTTATAAGTTATTTGATCTAGATATGTTGTGTTTCATCATTCATCATTTGTCACAAGTGACGAAACACAAAAGTTCAATTGCATTCACTATGGGAGTGAACGTGATTGAACGTTATGATCAGCATTAATTAAAAAAGGCCTATTAGTGCCTTTTTTTTTTTAGGGTGGGGAAAGGTAAAAGAGAAAAGCCCTTTGAATTTTATTGGTTAAAGGAAGTTAGTTTAAAATTATTAAATGTTAAAGTAAAAATTTATATTACTAATATATTTTAATTGATAGTCACAAAATACTTTAAAATAAATCCATATGTAAGCAAAGTTATAAAAGGGATCAAAAAGTTTTTGTTTGACATTGCTGTAGTCACTTGTATGATGGGGACCATGTCCAGAGTAACCAACACAAAGCCAGTGATCTAGCTGTGTAATTAGAAAGATATTTGTTGCACTCAGAACTACATGTGCATGCAATACACATATTGATGGCATTATTGCAACCAAATATGTCCAAATGAGATAGTTGTGCTGCTGTTCTGTTTTTGGCTGTGAAACATGTTGCCAACTGTAACATAATTTTTAATTTATATCATATTCCAATAATAAATTTGAGTGTATCGTATTCAATAACCATAACATAATTTTGTCATTTTAGTAGTTTTTTTTTTTTTTGTACAAAATCCAGAACAAAAATATTTTTAAGTTATACTTTTCTACATTTGCATCCTCTTGCATGCATTTATGTAATTTCACATGTTCTAAGTTCAATGCTATGCCATTTTAAAGTCAAGATGACGAACATTTGGGTGATATTCTCATCTGCTTAGTCCTTGTCGGTCAGAAGAAATGTGGCTGTTCACATTGTGATTCAAAAAATACATTGTTTAATTTTCTAAAGTTACGATGTGTTTCTGGATTAATTAATAACATAACCTGATCCATAATAGTGAGATTTAAATCTCAATAATGTTTTATTTAGATAAGTTGTAACTATACATATTATGAGCTTTAACTTTTCTAAGTAGGATGTAAGTTTTCTAGTAGGTTTATAAATATTCATTTTTCTAAGTATGTTAAAATATGTTTTAAATTTTTTCTTTGCATGCTAAAATAAAATACTTATGTTAGTATTAATAAAGTTAGAACTTCATACACCATTGAGAAATGGCATGTGAAGTTCTGCAAGGAGTACGACAGTATGCATCCTCATGTTGACAATGTCATCAAGAAGTTGGTCACTCTTAAATGGGAGACCCCTGGAGCAGCTGCCACAAAGTCCAGATATCACCGTGTGCTTTTCGTGCCTTTGGTCCTCTGAAAGGAGGACTGTTTTGATCAGATGATGACATGAGAAAGGATGTATTGGACTTTTATATGCAGCAGCTAATTGTCCTTTACCAGATTGGCATTTTAACTTGGTTTATCAATGGGATAATTGTCTTAATGCTAGTGGCAATATTTTCTAAATGGAATGAACCTACTGGGACCTACAGCTGTCAAATGGAAATCTTTTGATCATTCCTTGTATTAATATCATAAAAAGAATTTCTTAATCTTGAGTAAAAACAAATTTATTGATAATTGGGCTGTAATTTGAAAAATTGTAGACCTATAAATTTCCACTATTGTCCATCTTTTCACCTGTCTTTCCTTAATCTTAAGAATAGAGTTAGATACATGAAAATCAAGACCAAATATGGAAAGCTTAGGGATAGGAGGCTCTGATTAAATAACTGTACACAAACTTTTGAAGCAAATTGGAAGTGGAAATCACATTATTTCAATTCAAAATGTTTTCCCTAAAAGAATAGATGATAGATGACTGGCACAACTCCATTGCTAACAGAAAAGTATGATGAACAGGGGCAAGTCAATACTAATTTCAGGTGGAGAGCATGTATTTCAAATTAAATTAATTAAAAATATGATTAAAAATCCCAGACCAGCATTGTGACGATATCATAAGAAATAATTGCTCATTTTTAAGTAAAGCTTTGTTGAATGAGTCTTGAAATAAGTTAAATAATATCTTAAATTACTATACAAATAACAGCAGTAGTGACTTATCATAGCTGATTATTCATTTAGACATTAAGACAAGTCAAATAGAAATGTACTTTTTTATCTTCCAAAGTAGAACTTGAATAAAATGGAAACCTGCCTAAGCAGAAAAAATTCTTTGAAATGGAGCATTTTTCTTAATTTTTTTAATTGAAAATGGAATTGGCAACTTTCCAGAAAAATATTTGGTATCATGTGATTCTGGTTTACACAAGTTTACTGTATTTTGAGATGCTTTTGTAGATTAGTGTAAATCATTACACTAATCTACAAAAATTTCACCTAACAATTATTGCTACATTTAAAACACCCAAATATATTTAATAAGTTAATTTAGTTTTTCTGTTTCATCAGATTTTTGACTGCTTAAATATGCTCAAAAGTGATGCTAAAGCATTTCTATTTTCTGTTGTATTGCAAATTATTTTTAAGTGTTTAATCATGATGATTAAAATTTGTTATACTCAAGCATATGATGACTTTAAATTTAGATAGATTTTTACAATTTTCAAACTAAAAGAATTTGAGGCAATTAAAAATGTTCAACTTTTCATTCTCCTAAATATTTAATCTATTGAAACAAGCTTTTATTATAATTTACATTAAATTATTGAAAATAAACCTTAAAAGAATTGTTATTGTATTGTAAAACAGTTTATTTATATGATACACTTCTGTTAGTCCGAGCTAATTATTATGTAGTTGTTTAGTAGAATTACATACAAGGAAAAGGAGGTCAGAAAGGATTACAAATACATATATTTAAAAATAAATGATATTTTATTATATTATATATATATATATAATTAANAATTATTTTAACAGTGATAATCGTGGTGGAGACCGAGGAAACAATCGCAGCGGTTTTAGAGACACTGCAAAACGAGGTGGGGGTGGTTACTCGAATAACAAAAGTCAGAAGAATAGCTTGAAAGGAAAGCAACCAGGAGAACGTCTACGAAAACCCAAATGGGATCTGTCGCGCCTACCTCCTTTCCAGAAAGATTTTTATAAGGAGCATCCAAATGTAGCAAGAAGAGTACCGGTTAGTATCATTTTGGAGAATTTTAAAATTATATAAGTAAACAAATAATTGAATCTTTGTGTAAATTATATAAGCTTTAATATTTAGAGAAAATGTGTTTTTCAAAAATAACATTAAATAGTCTGTCTTTTGGCATTAATAGCTTTTTTAAAGTAAGAACTTTATCATGTCAATAAGAAGTATGAAAAAATATCATTAATTGTAGGGAAGAGAAGTAAAATTTTAAAAACATAAATTAGGAAAGTCTAATAGTATTTGCAAGAAAGAAATATAAGTTGGATCTTTTGAGTGATGTAAAATAATTTATTGCTGTTTTGAGTATAATTGTAAATTATAAAATTTAATAACTGAATTAAATATTTTCTTATTGTGCACTTCAATTCAAATAAGTAATTTTTTAATGATTTATTTTTATTGATTGTTGTAATGATATATTTTAATGAATATTTATAGGTGGAGGTGGATGCATTTTGGCAAATGAATGAAATTACTATTAGAGGTCGTGGAGTTCCCAAGCCAGTCACCCTCTTTGACGAAGGAAGTTTTCCAGGTAAAACAAAAATTCAGAAATTGTCAATTAATTGTAATTTCATATGATATTTGTTCGCGGTTGAATAAATAGCATAATACAGTCTGTGACAGATTATTATCTGATAAAATAATAAGTCCACTGACGAGTGAGTGTAATTTATTATAGAGAAAAAATTTGTATGTTTCTCACTTTACAGAATTATCAATTTAATATTTATAAATTTATAATAGACTGGAATTGTCATCATTTATTTCATAAAATTTTTAGATTAACATCAATAATTCCACAATTTTATATTTCTATTTTAATAAGAAGGAAAATAATTAGAATAAATTAGAGACTTTCTCAATAACATTTTACAGAGGAAGAAAAGCTAACTATTTTAATAATGAAAAAATTCAATTTTGAATAAAGTAAATAACTGAAAATTTCATCAAGATTATATTAAACTCAGATAATAAAAATTATGACTTTTAGTTTGATTTCACCTAATATTGATAGCTAGTCATGATTATTTTTGGAGAGTTTAAGGCTCTAATCAGATGTGATGGCTCAGTCTGGCTTGAAAGATGTCATTATTATTATAATCAAAAATAAAAATTTTATAATTTGTTTTCTTGATTCTCTTTTTACACTGATGAATTATGGGGAAGCTATAACTGAAAAATAAAAATGAAAGTTTGGAAAAAGTATAATAAACTTGGAGAGGTTTACATTTATTATTGCCTTGATAAAATTTGCAAATAATGATGATTAATAAAGATTATAATTGTAAAATAAATCTTTTAAATTACAAATAGAAGTATCAGGTTGTTCAATAAGTTTTGTCGTTTGATAAGAGATGACACTATTAGGATTGTCACTTTTTCTCTAAAAATAGTACTACTATTTCATAAACATGTGTCAAGTTTCAAGTAGACCTTTCAACTCGTTTGTATATTTGCAGCTGTTCAAAGTTGATGTGCCACTGTATTTTTTTACAATGGAAAAAATTGAATATCATGCAGTGATAAAATTCTTATTTTTGGAAGGTGTTGCACCAAAACAAATTCATGAACGATTGTTAAAAGTGTATAAGGACTCTTTCCCTTCAATTAGAACAGTAGAAAGATGGGTTGCTGAATTTAAACATGGTTGTACGAGTTTTGAAGACGATACCCACGAAGAACATCCAAAAAGTGCATCAACACCAGAAATCATAGCAAAAATACAGCATATGGTTTTGGAAGATCGTCGATTAACCAAGAGAGATTTAGTAGAAGCACTAGGGATCTCGTTAGACAGTGTGAGCAATATTTTGGCTGAAGTTTTGGGTTACAGGAAGCTGTGTGAACAATGGGTACTGCATTTGCTAACTATGGAACAAAAACACATTTGAATGCAACTTTCTCAGCAACATTTGGAGTGTTTTAGAAAGAATAAAAAGGATTTTGTGCATTGTTTCATCACTATGGATGAGACTTGGGTCTACCACCATGATCCTGAATCAAAACAAGAGGCTAAGGAGTGGGGTGAACACGGTTCAGCTCCGAAGCGAGTTAGGGTCCAGAAATCGGCCAAAAAGGCGTTAGCATCAGTTTTTTGGGATGCAAAAGGAATTTTGTTTGTGGATTACCTCCAAACTGGTAAAACAATAAACTCAGATTATTATTGTAACCTTTTGAACCAGCTGGATGTAAAAATTTGTGAGAAAAGACCTGGTTTAAAGAAGAAAAAAATCATTTTTCATCAAGACAACACACCCTCTCACACAGCTCAAAAAACTATCACGAAAATCAGTAAATTAAAATACGAATTGTTGCAACATCCTCCCTATTTGCCAGATTTAACTTCCTCTGATTTCTGGCTGTTATCACATCTCAAAAAATTCATACGTTGGAAACGATTTTCATCAAACGAAGAGGTAATTGCAGCTGTAGAAGCATATTTCAAGTCTTCCGGATTCTTACTTTAGGGATGGAATCCACAAATTAGAAGATCACTGGTACAAGTGTATTGAAGTTCAGGGAGATTATATTGAATGTATTTTATATTGAATATAAAATGTATTTCAAACAATATCATGTTTTTCTTATCGAACAACCAAACTTATTGAACAACCTGGTAAATACTACAAGATTGATTTGATTGTGATAACTTAGATATCAATGTTCTGTAGAAATTACGTAATCTGAGCTTACAACTGTATTATACTCTGAGTTTAAAGCTTATGGATGTATTTAAAACAGTACATATGATTCAAAATGAAAATTTTTAGTTGCATGAATTTCAGCTGTACTTTATTTTTATTTCAAAGTCCAGAGAATAGTTGTTTTGATTAATCAAATCTGTTGCATTAACCACTGTCTTATGGAATTGTATTATTTTATTTTTCTGTTAATAATGAAATTTTATTTCTTAATGTAAATATTTATGGAATTTAAATTATATAATATTTTATTTTTAGAATATGTTATGAATGCTATTCATCAGCAAAGTTATGAGCGACCAACGCCAATACAAGCACAAGGTTGGCCTATTGCTCTTAGTGGTAGAGACATGGTTGGAATTGCACAAACTGGTTCTGGAAAAACTTTAGCTGTAAGTACATTCATAATCATTTTTAAAGGAAACTCTTATTATTTTCTTTGCTTTTATATAAGCTATTGTTACAGAAATAAAGGAAAATGTATAAAATTATATAATGTGTCAGTAACAATAGTTTTGACAAAAGTGTCTAATAATATCAAGTGATAATATATAAAGAAGACATGCAAGAAGTATCTCAAAGAGAATCACGTACTCTGAACTGATTATGGTGTGTGCATAAACAAAACAAAAACAAACTTTTTTGAACTCCACCCTTCAAACTTTTTTGTTTTGTTTATGTGCACACCATAATCGGTTCAGAGTACATGATTGACTATATCCTGGTGTGGTGAGTGGTTGTTTAGCTCAAAGAGTTTGGCAGTTTTCGAGTACCAGACTTGTTGATGCCATGAGCCAGAATTACTTGATTGACTTGTCAAATGTCATTTATTCCTAAACTAGCTGCAAGTATCCACTTCACTGGATTTTTATCTGTTCATACATTTATATGTAATATAGTTTTTATATATATATATAAAAGACTTGTTTCTCTTTCTCTACATAATCTTTCTCTGATTTGATATGTTTCCCTATAATTTTCAAGTTGCTCTTCTGTCTGATTATTTCTGTTTCGTTGATAATTTTCTCATAGCAATGTTAGACATACTTCTGTTTCTTCCGTGGTTTCATTTCTCTGTGCCATCTTTTGCCTTTGAGATATGATTCGAGACCGCAAAAATTTTNGTGGTTTCATTTCTCCACGCCATCTTTTACCTTTGAGATATGATTCGAGACTGCAAAAATTCTTTCTTATGCTTTGGCATTGTTTTGTATATTTTTACTTTTCACACTTCACTATTCACTTTTCACTTTCTACTTTTTTTCTGTTATTTGTACACTTTTACTTATGAAAAATTAACTGAAGCATGTGCATCACACGTCTCCAAAAGCCATTCTCACTACTCACACATAACGGTCCTATTCCAAAACATTTTTCACTATTTGAAAACATTTAAGATTATATTACAGCCATTCTTACCCATTTTCACAGAATGCAAGAATTAGGTTCCCCGTTTCCAGACTAATTAGAGAATTTTTACATGGTTCTAAAAATATGTTTGATTTCCTGCAAAAACGAAAAAACAGCATCTTCACCTGTAAATCTTGCACACTGCTTTCTCTTAACACTTCCTTTGTTACTCAACATTTCCATTGTTAACAATTCTATTGTTAACACGTCCATTGTTACACATTTTTGAAGTCAATCACTTTCAACCCCCATATCTCCCAAACCCTTATAGCTATCAAGACGCAACCACTATAGTGCACACATGTCCATTTATATATATATATAAATGGACGTGTGTGTGCCTATATTTCACTCCACAGCTAAAACTACACATCACACATGAATGGTGTTTGTGTGTGGTAGTAGCCCCATGTCTACCACTGTGCACTATAGTGAGCTAACTCCATATTTATATCTATATATATGAATATGGAGTTAGCTCATTATTATTTAATTAAGTGCTGGAATAACTGGAAATATCTTATACTGCAGAACAGAATTTTCTTAGTAGAAAGCTATATAAAGAAATGTTATTTAACATTAGTTTGTGATCACATACAGTTCTTTCTTTTTTACAGGAATGCATGCACAAGGCAGCAATTTTCTGTTGATTTTTCACATGTAATTGTGTACATAATAGTCATTTCTCAAATTTGATGATTCTGAAGAATCCCATAATGTGTTTTCACTGCATGTGTCAAATTTCATACATTGTTTAATTTACAAAACAGTGCTCTTGACTAGGCTCCTATAGGTAGCCCTTCAAACTTTGTGATAGCATGGGTTGAGGTGTTTCTCAAGAGGACTAGAAAATGATTTTTACATTTTTTCAGACATGAAATGAAACTGTGAAAATTGCATTTAAATTGTTAAGATGATAGTACTCCAAGATATCTGACAGAAAGTTCTTCGTGGTCTTCACGGTTGTAGTGACTTGAAGACCATGCATGCCATTACATCATACATAGCTGGCAAGTATCCATAATGTCATGCTTACCTCTTGCAACAATCATTAGAAACTTCCAAGATGTCAGGTCACCAAAAATGACATTAGTGTGGAAAATGGCTGCATAATATGTCATGTGACAATAAGGAAAAGTTGCAAGTGTAAGACAGCAATTTTCAGTAGCAGTCTTGAGGGTCTGTGATAAGTGGAAAAAAATTTTTTGATCAAAATTTTTATTCAGTTATGTGGATAGCGTATAGCAAGAGGAAATTATGGAAGCATAGGTAAGTAACCCAATTTGGTGAAAAATACCTGTAAAATTTGGTGATTTCCTGCATCTACTAGTTTAGATGCAGGAAATTACCACTACCACGTATGACTGCAGGTCAAAATGAGTTTGAGGAAATATCCTGAATCATTTGTTTCTGCAAAAAGTTATATTTAAAAACTTTTTAATAAGTGACAGTTCACTTGGTATATATGTAAAAAAAAAGAAAATTGTTGAAAGAAAAGGTTATTTGAGGAAAGATTGAGGCTTTGGGCATGCTTAGAAACAAATTCTATGAATTCTTTAATGCATTTATATTGAGAGACTGAATTATCTTATGATTCTGTTTATGCAACTTTGAAAATAATCAAATTAAGTAAATAATCACTGAAGCTTATAGTAAATAATTATTTTTGATTTAAGTGTTTCTCACAATGTGTAGCAAGATGGTAATAAGCAAAGCTTGGTGTCACTAAACTTCTCACGTTTTGTTTTTATTTTGATCATCCAGTGGAATTCAATTCATTACAAATTTGTTATACAGGAAATTCCACTTAAAACTGGCCTAACTGAGATGATGAAAGTTTAGTGTTGTAAATTTTATACAGTATATTTAAAGAGGAAAGTGAATGAGATCAATCTCAGAAATATAGGCAAACTGAAAGAAAGCATTTGCAGAAGCATTGAAGCTTTCAATGTCAATATTTTATGTAATGTTAGTCTGAACATGATTTTGCATATATAAAGGTGTACAGAAATGCATAAGGAAACCACTTTTTGCGTCTTCTGTAGGTTTCTGTATGCTTAAATAATATTAAAATAAAGTTTTAGTGAGTGTCCTATGACTTAATTTATTTATATTGCTTCCATTGAATGAGGCCATTTTTACATGGGACATCCTATAAATGCAATGCTTAGGCTATTCTAGTTAGAAATCACTGATTGTTTCCTAAAAAGAAACAAAGACTCTTTTTAATGCACTTAATAAAGATGATTATTCCTTACGACAATTTTATTTTAATTATCTTGAATCAAAAAGAAAGTTTTGGAATCCAAATTTGGCAATTTTTCTAACTTAAAATGTGAGTAACAAGAAAAACAAATAAATTAAGTTGTTGGTATTAAATTTTTTAAGTTTTTTCTAGTAAAAATATTTTATGATTGAAAGATTTCATCAGTGATTTTTTCCCAAAATCTGTTACTATTTCATAATTAAACTTATAGTTGATGGTATATTAAGATTGAATGATATAAAATAAAGTATATTTACATTTAAACATAACTAATAATAAGTATATACTATTCTAATTTTAAAGTTGTAATAAGTAAGTTCCAGTGATTTTGTATAATAAACTGAACATAAACATTTGCTTGTACCATTAAAATATCCAGATTATTAAAGGTTTATGTTCAGTTTTTTTATCTTTCAGTAATAAAATTGGAATAGCATAACAATTGAAAAGATGAAATGAAATTTAAAAAATTCCCTGATAATTTCAAAATATTAGATGTGATTAAAACTGAAAATGTTAATTTATAAACAGCTTGCAAGTCTGACAAAAAGTAAAAGAATTATATTTCTGCAATATATTGCTAATGATATATTCTAGAAATTTATTTCATAAGTATAATATGGCTTATAATTTTTGAATTAATGATTAAATTATTTTTGGCTTTTTTGTAAGTGATCGATTTGAAAAGATTTTGTTTTGTAATAAAGAAATACTCTATGATGATTTTTGAATTCATTTGTTGATTAAATGAAAGAAATTTAAAAATGGAATGAATTCAAATGAGATTTTACAACTGAAAATGTTATTTATTTAAAAATATTTTTTTCAAGAATTATTATTTTTTCTTCTACAGTACATGCTTCCTGCTATTGTTCACATTAATAATCAACCACGTTTAGAGAGAGGAGATGGGCCTATTGTAAGTATTATGAATTTGTTAATATCAATTAAGTAAATGGTTTCAACTTTAATTTATCTATTCTACTTTAAATAACTTTGATAATTCATAATATAACTATCACAATGAACAGAGGAATAACAACTGAATAATTTAATTATTTTAATTAAATATTTATTGTTATCGAATACACATTTAATTCTTATAAGTTATAAATGCAATAGATTTTAAAATTTATGAGGTTTCTTTTTATATTAGAAATGTAATGTATTTATGTAATGATATAAATATATTACTGTTAGAATGTCCTTTATCAAAGTTTGATTGTACTAAAAATGAGATAAACTGACTTATTATAAGTTATCAGTTCAACTGATGCTTAGATTGTGTGTTGGCCATTATTACAATTCATAAAAAATTTAATGAAATTATTAATATGAGTTAATAAATTGTGAAATTTACTTCCAGAGCAACATTTGTCAAGTCATATAAATTATTTTATTTAATCTGCTTTCTTATCTGTTTTGTTTCCACATCATTTAATGCATATATTGCTTTCATTTAATTTGATTTAAATTGTTTGAGATTATAAATGTTATAGAATTTCTAATCTAATAGTGACCTACAAAGATATATTTTTTAATTTGATTATTTCTCTCAAAATAAAAATAGAAAAAAAAGGAAATAGATTTGAAGGAAAAGGAAAAAGTTGTAGATTATAATAAAGATTAATTTCTAATTTTTGATTAACTTAATACTTATAACAAATTTAAAGTAATTAGCATTTAAAAACTTTTCAGGTATTGGTACTTGCACCTACACGTGAATTAGCACAACAGATACAACAAGTAGCATGTGATTTTGGACGGTCTTCACATATTCGAAACACTTGTGTATTCGGTGGAGCACCTAAAGGACCTCAGATTGCTGATTTAGAAAGAGGTAAATTTTGTAAGATTTTAAGTTTATCAGTATTTACTAGAGAAAATTGTTTTTAAAACAAATTAATAATCCTCCACCAAAATACTTTGGATCTATTAATCTGTTTTTGTCTGAGAATTCCTTGCTTAACATTGTCATTTAGTACAGCAGCTTTACTATTATCATTAATTAATAATGATACAGTCAAACCTGTCTATAACAGAACCTGTATAAAGCAAAAACCTGTCATTAATGGAAAATTTCTTCGGTCCCATGAATTTTTTGCAAAAATTAATGTAAATTAATCTGTACATAGCGGAATCTGGAAATGGAAATGGAAAGGAAATTTGGTTAGTGTAATGGAAAAATTGGTATCTTTATCTGATTTAACATATTTAACAATAAGTTTACAAGCCTAGCATGTATAAATCATAAAAAAGTGAAAAAATATACATAACCCAATACAGAATAGAAAATACAACTACTATATTACAATAATTTTATTGGATTTTGAACAGAAAGTTTTTCTATATTTTTATTAACAGCTGTTTTTACTTAACATAAATATGTGACATAATTATAAATTGTGAAATTTAACACATTATTTCTGATGTAAGATTGTATTTTTGTTTTGAAGCTTATTTTAAACTTTTTTACAGTGCATTTTGTTTGAGTAAAATCAAGTCGAAATGTCTGCGGATAAAATGCACATCAGGCACATTGTGCATACTTTTTTTAAGTTTCATAAAGGATATCATGCTATACAAACAATAAAAATTACTCATACTGTGTATAGGGATGCTTGTAAACTCAGAATGTGTCAAATGTGGTTTTGAAAGTTTCGTTTGGGAAATTTTGAACTAAAGGATACAAAATGTATGGGCCCCAAAAGCTGTCAAAAAGAAATTGCAGGGAGAAAGTGTTAAATATTGATGAAGAACAACTTGTGAATTTGCAACAAATCTTAGTGTGTCACAGACATATAATATTGTTGAAACGTTGCATCCATTTGAAATGGTTGTAAAACATTCTGATGATTGTGTTCTGCATGCAATTTGTTTTTTTTTCCACTTATGAAAAAATGAACTGGATTGAGTATAACTTTGTTGGATGAAGGTAGGCAGCTGTAAGGTTTTATTTTATTTTTAAATTGGTTACATTTTTATGGATGAATGAAAAATTAAAATAAAAATATTTGTTGTTAACCAAAAATTTGTTATAGTGGGTGGTGATTGTTTGGTTGAGTACCAAGATACCACTGTATTTGATTAATGTGATTTTGATATACACAGTAACATTGATAATTTATTAATCACATTAATCAAGGGATACCTATCATAGGTAACCTATATATAGTGGAAATGTGTCCACTGTGGAAGAGTTGTTCAGTCTCTTGGAGTTCCATTATAGACAGATTTGACTGTATATTATTAGTTATGAAGATTAACATACATATAACATATGTCAAATGCAAAAAAAATGTTTATGCTTAAGTAACAAACTACTTTATAATTGTGTGAACAAACTAGTTTAGAGGGAACTAATATAATAAAACATCTATTACCAATATTTTTTTTTTTTAAATTTTCTGATCTGTGGGCTTTAAGGTATTTTTTTATACATATTATGGATTTTGTCCTTTATCATTCTGACTTGTGTGTAGAACCTGTATTTCCCAAAACATCGGGTGATGTTTTTAGCTTCTTGTCTACTTGATTTTTCTAAAAAATATTTCATGAGACATGCACAAATTTGAACTGTGAATCTTGAACTGCAGTAAAATGCCTTACCATCAAGCTATTCTTTTGACTATTGTGAGATCCGAAAGGCCCCTGGGCCTCATTTATGAATTTTATTAATATGTTTAAATTATCGACAAAATATTATTTCGTTTTGTGTGAAAAAACTGGTGTTTTAGACGTGGGAAAAACCCCACATAACAAATGTTATTTCCTTTTCGTCAAGGAGAACATCCGTTGTTTTTACATATCCGTTAAAAATCTCGCTCAGATGGGAAATGACTACCCCTCATTCGTCCCCCTTTTCGCCGGTTCTCACGAAGAGTTACTGGACAATGATTGGACGAAATTTGGAAATAAAAGGAGAAATTAGTCAGAATTCGAGGAGTTCTCCGACCGATTTGAAAGTGTCCAGACTCCACATACAGTTTTCCTCCTGATGGCCAACGCCCATAACGAAGTCCGATAGACTAAGTCCCGAGTTTACACTTAGAAGAAGTGATAATTTTGTATTTTGTGCACGAATTAATCTCCCATACAATAGAAGCATGAATCCTATCTACAAGGTGACCTATATCTACAGAAACGAAGACGACAACTAACAGGTCGTATGTTTATAATAATCTTGTGAGCTCTCTCTCTCGAACGCACATTAGCATAAGTATAGTTGTAACCGTCAGCTTGTCGTTTAATTGTTGTTGACCATTTGTATTCATTGTTTAGTTTTATTAAATTTTACTTTTGCTTATATAAGTATGTCTCCTCGATTCATTTCCGAATCAGATCGCGTACGCGTGTTAATCCGCGTCTAATAAGATCGATTAACTGGTGTCGGGAACCTGACAATTGGAATAAAGACCTCACAGTCTAGAATTCCTCTTTTATCTATATATCACCGCCCTCCGGTCAAACAAATCTTGACATAAGATCGGATCTCAAGATCCGAAACTAAGGATACAGATTTTGGTTAATCTGTGCCGATTAAGTGTTACACGAGTACTATCTACTCCGTAACCCCGGCTAATCTCACACTATCTGTGGCTATTTCATTGCACTTCGTTTATAATCATATTAATATAGGGTTGTTGCAAATGAAATTGTCGTTTTTCAAAATTTAAACTTTCCACCCTTGTTCANGATTTTGATATACACAGTAACATTGATAATTTATTAATCACATTAATCAAGGGATACCTATCATAGGTAACCTATATATAGTGGAAATGTGTCCACTGTGGAAGAGTTGTTCAGTCTCTTGGAGTTCCATTATAGACAGATTTGACTGTATATTATTAGTTATGAAGATTAACATACATATAACATATGTCAAATGCAAAAAAAATGTTTATGCTTAAGTAACAAACTACTTTATAATTGTGTGAACAAACTAGTTTAGAGGGAACTAATATAATAAAACATCTATTACCAATATTTTTTTTTTTTAAATTTTCTGATCTGTGGGCTTTAAGGTATTTTTTTATACATATTATGGATTTTGTCCTTTATCATTCTGACTTGTGTGTAGAACCTGTATTTCCCAAAACATCGGGTGATGTTTTTAGCTTCTTGTCTACTTGATTTTTCTAAAAAATATTTCATGAGACATGCACAAATTTGAACTGTGAATCTTGAACTGCAGTAAAATGCCTTACCATCAAGCTATTCTTTTGACTATCTGTGGCTATTTCATTGCACTTCGTTTATAATCATATTAATATAGGGTTGTTGCAAATGAAATTGTCGTTTTTCAAAATTTAAACTTTCCACCCTTGTTCATTGTTTAATTTTCTGACATTTAAAAAAGGCATTGGGAAAGTCAAGAAGCTTGATAAATGACTAATGCACAAGCTCAGCAAGAGAGAGATGATTTATCATTTGGAGGTCTGCTATTCTCAGATTTTCTGGAACAAAAATGAAGGTTTATTGTATATTTTAACTTGCAATGAAAAATAGTTAGGACAATTGTCGACATTCTGAGCAGTGGCTAGATGTGGAAGAACCAAAACGGAACCTTCATCCATGGAAGGTTATGGTGTCTGTATGGAGGTGTGATTTATTTTTCACTTTTGCAACAAGGTAACTTGATTAATATAAAGAAATTGAAACGATGCATTATAAACTGCACATTCAAGAGTTGGCCTTGGTGAATAGATTTGATATATGACATGTCTGTATGACAATATCAAACTACATGTTGCAAAGCAGACCATAAAAAAAAATTGGCAGAATTGAACTTCAGAATTTTTCTTCACGTACTTTATTTTTCATATTATTAGCCAATGGACTACTACTATTTTAAATATCTTGATTATTTTATAATAATGTATTTTTGGGAGGGTTGAAGAGTTTTCCTTCAAAAAATACATTTGGTGATGTTTTGGCCTCTCATTTTCCTGATTTTTATTGAATTGGCATTAATACACTTCTATTGCATTGATAGAAGTGTATTTGAGTGGATGGAGATTATTTTGATTAAATACTGGAGTGTTAAATTAGATTAATAAACTTTCAAATCAAAAATAAAAATATTCAATTTTGTTTTCAACAACTCAATAATAGTAATATACAGTAAGACCCACTTAACACGGGGGATGCGTTCCTAGATGACAAGCGCTAAACAAAACAGCATTAAACGAGGTCATTTTAACATACAACAGATAGGGATAGGGGAACATGCAGCCAAAAATAAACAAATTTTACTTTAAGTTATTTTTATATTAATTTGTATAATAATGTATGTTAAATAACACAAACATATGCACAGAGAAATGCAAAGTTCATTTTTTGTGAGGAAGGTCCTGGCTTTTCTGAAATTTTTGTTTTTTGCGATAGAAGTCCTGTAGTTTCATTTGTTACTTTTTTCTTTCTTTAAAGCCCTGGTCACACTATGCGATTTCCAGCTGCGCAGACGACTGCAACCGTGACGGTTGTTCTCGTTAACTAGTAATCCTCCCTCAAAAATTGGCATGACTGCAACTGCAACTAGAAACAAAAAGTTTGTTCTACTTGCGACAATTTCAAATGTGCATCCAATCAACAAACGCATGCATGTCATACAGTGACAACATTGAAAATAGTTCTTCATCATGGCGGATAGTTAGAGGATTAATACTTTTACAGAATCGAGATTGATCGAGCTTATTCAGGCTCACGAATACCTGTGGGATTTTAATTCTTTGTTTTATTGAAGATTTTATCTTTTCGTGTATTCTCACCAGCTCTATCAAGATAATCGCCTTTTTTCTTTTATTCATTGCAGAATAAGAAAAGTGGCTAAAATTCCGTAAATACTCTGAAGTAGAATGTAAAATGTCAGCAAACTCACGAAAGTAGTCAAAAACAAGTAATTTTATTGTTTTATTATAGGGTCATGTGTTTCCGTGTTGCAACGTCAACGAACAGTGTGTGACCATGAGAAGATGTGTGCAACTCACGCTTGTTGCAGTTGCAGTTGGCTGCGCGGCTAGAAATCGCTTAGTGTGACTAGGGCTTAAGCAAATGTTGGTAGCAGATGATCTCATCCAAAACGCCTCGTTTTGCTTTTGCACTGCTTTCAAAATCTGTTATCAAACTGTTATCAAAACATTATCAAACTTTTACTAAGGAAATCTGTTACAAGTTCTTTGGGTTCTTCGTTTTCAGAAACTCTGTTTTCCAGTTGTACATGAATTCCTTGTTCTGCCAGTTCTTGAAAGTTGTCGTTGGTAAGGCTCTCACCAGAAACCTGCTGTAACTCCTCAATATCCTGCTCATCTACATCTCCTAGTCCTGCTGTATCAATTAGGTTGAATTTGGTCAACCTAATGATACAGCAATCGACTCTTCTTGTTGAGGATTTTTGGATACCTTCAGCCATAACTTTTTTTGCACTTTGCTTATGCATTTATCAGTTAATTCTTGTCAAGCAAAGCTGATATTGTTTATGGCATCCATGATGTTTTATATGTTTTCCAAAATTGCACCAAACAAAAATAGATTTATAAAAAGTAAACTTTTTTGCTACACTTTTCTGATTAGTTCATGTTCGTAAGTAATTGTATTATATATGAATCAATGAAATGCCGCATAATTTAAATCAGTGTAAATTTTGAGCTTTTTTTAAGGCTTCGAGCAGTCAGCATTATATCGAATTAACGTTAAGCGGAGTCTTACTCTATAAACCTAACCCTTGATATATATGGTTCATGTAAAATTTGCAATTTTGGTTTAACACATTTGGAAACTTGCAACAAAATTTCATTTTACAAGATAAGGTTATAACAATGAGCAACATTATAACAATAATTTTTTTATTGCAGTTACAGTCGACCCCCCTATAATTACGGTCCCTATAATTACGATTCCTATAAAACTACGAAAAAATATACGTATTTTGGAAATGTTGAGTCGGATTAGTGTAGAATCGATTAATTTTATGGAAGAAAACCTTTCAATCAGCCGTAGTCCGTAAACTTGACACGTGTCGGGCTGTGATTGGAACGACTTGTAAGAAATCGGATTCCTAATAAATTGGAACGTATCTATATCTTATAGGGGGGTCGACTGTATTAAATAGTTACATTAGTGATTTGATAACCTGTTAAGTAAATCATCATGAATTGAGATTAGTATTTTAAAATAAAATTTTACTTTATATTATGTGTTTTTTATTAATATTATATATAAAGACAAATGTTTAACCTATATTTCTAATGGGGTTAATTCAAAAGCTTTTTTTAATATTTATTTTATCTTATAGTTATTTTTAAAAGTTTATCAATGAATTGTTTTTAATCTATATTTAAAATTTTCAGGTGTAGAAATTTGCATTGCCACTCCTGGTCGCCTGATTGACTTTTTGGAAGCTGGTAAAACTAATTTACGACGTTGCACTTATCTTGTGTTAGACGAAGCTGATCGTATGCTCGATATGGGTTTTGAACCGCAGATTCGGAAGATTGTCGAACAAATAAGAGTAAGTAAATTTTAAAAATCTAATTTCAAAGGAAAATTTTTTAATATTTATATTTGGAAATTTAAAAATTAAATTAAAAGAAAGTTTGGTTTATTCACATTTACCAATTCTGTTAAAGAAGCCAAAAATCGTAATAAACTGATTTATAAATAGTATTATAAAATAGTAATTAGCTGTAGAAACAGTTTATGCTCATTTTAATATCCTTTACTTGTTTAAATGGAAATAAAAATTAATGTTTCAAGAGCAGAGTAGATATTAAATTTTGTAGCAAAAGTATGAAATGTACACTGATTTGGTATAGAAGACTAAGACTAATTGTCACTGAATTACAATCTGAATATTCTGAACTATTGTACATTTTAATTAGATTAGAATTAGTCTTTGGAAGTAGAGAATATTTTTTTGTAAGTCCATTTACTTAATTTAAATATTAATGTTGAAAAATTATCATGTTTTAGTAATAAGAATGTTCTTGTAAAATTCTAAATGTCCTAAAAATTCATTAAACTATAAAAAACAAATTCAGTTCATATTGATGACAAAACAGAAGCATAATTAATGAAGTAACAACTTACAACAGACTTTTCTTATTGGCCACTGCTAGATCTAGAATTATTCCTATTATACAAAGAAAAAATGTTTTTGGTTGATAAAATGTAATAAAAAACTTATGTTATGGTGGTAATTTTTTAATATCTATGTTTTGAAACTATTTAATTATGAATATAAACTGACCCTGTTTATTATAGTTCATTGAATTTATTTCAAAGTCATACATGATATAAAACAAACTTTTAGATCTGTAGCTGATTAAAGAAAAAATTGTAGAGTATAATACAGACTAATTATAAAATTTGTTTTCATTTTAGCCAGATCGTCAGACATTAATGTGGAGTGCAACTTGGCCAAAAGAAGTACGCACATTAGCTGAAGATTTCTTGAAAGATTACATTCAGATTAATATTGGAGCTTTACAACTCTGTGCCAATCATAATATTTTACAAATTATAGATGTCTGTCAAGAATCGGAGAAAGAACAGAAGTAAACTTTTTTAAATAATTTTATTAAGTTAAATTTTACAAAAGAGGAAAAAAAACATTAATTTTATATTTTTTAAATTTTATTTTTGAATACATTCAGTAAAGTACTTGTGGACTAAAGATTACTGTGCTCTCAAAACATAACAATAAAACGATTCCCTAGATCAGGGCTGTCCATCCCTGATCTAGGGCTGTTTTATGTTTTATGTGGCCTACTGCACCCTAAAAGTTTTAGATACATTTTCATTTATTTTGATAAAGAATGTTGTAAAAATTATTCTCATTTCACTGGATACACTTTGATGTCATAATGATGTATTTGATGCTAGAAAACTGTACTACCCCACCTGCAAAACATACTATTGTGAATGCTTGTAGCGGTTTTGATGAAAAACATCAAAACCATGAAAAACATCAAAACCACGTTCCTAGAATTATGACTAGTACCATAAATGCAGATATTGACAATATTATAAAAGGAAGGCAATGTCAAAAATTGCATTGAATTTATTTTTATTTTGTATGAATATAATTTGTTTACTGCCAATAATACAGTATTTTATGTGATTATATATTTGTTATTAAAATTTGGTATTCACAATTTGAACTTTTTAAAGGCATATCTAAGCCATTGTCGCATCTGTAATGGTATCCATTGCCTAAAATGCCCACTAGGGGCACCCTAGTGATGATTTTAAATTAACAATAAATTATTTTTATTTGTAATAGGAATTTATTATTGATATGAATTTATTATTTATACCACGGAATGGTAGAAATAATTATTATGTGCCTTGTCTTATTATATGCCTTGATTAGCCTTGTATCGCACGTTTACAACATCCTGTGACTCAGTGAACATCACGCATTGACTCACGGGAAATTTGTTGAAAAAATGGCGGATACATTTAACATCGAGGGTTACCAGCAAAGGCAAATAAACAAATTAAACTATCTTCAAGCGTTTATAGGATGTTTAATAACACTAAATAATTATTTTTAATTAGCATCATGTCTCTTACCGTACAATAGGACTACCTCATACTTTTGTTGAACAATAAATTATTTTTATTTGTAATAGGAATTTATTATTTATACCACGGAGAATAACAAAAAAAAACAAATAACAATTCATATATTAAGTAGATCAAAGTTGCCTCATGGAAATTTGTAAAGAGTGCCCACTAGGGGGCATCCTGGGCTATTAGTATTTATGTAAAATACCTTTGTGGCTTGCTGAATATACATAAATTTCTAATTTGGCCCATTAGGAAAAAGGTTGGACAACCCTGCCTTAGATAAAAACAATTACACTACACATATAAAAATTAATAAGCATGAACAAATAATTTAGACATAATTAAATTAAAACAGAAAAAGACATGATACAATATATAGTAAAACATCCAATGTGTAAAAATGTGATAAAAGAAATATTAATATAAAAGCTATGCATTTATTTATAATCAATAAAATTTCATTCTAAAAGTTGAGAATGCACTAAATCTTAAAAAATCAGAATGGGAAAAGAAGAATAAAAGTAATAAAAGTGGGGAAAAAATAAAACAAAGATTTTAACTGCCTTATACCGTATGGTGTTTTAAATACTGTATGTCTTGATAAATAAGATTTCTGACAGGGTACGAAGTTACGAGCATTTGTGGAAAAAAAATTGTTTTTGATATGTTTAGGACGTAATTAGGAGTGGAAAGGTGTGATTTATTTATTTTTTTGGTTCAATGAGGAGGTATTCTTAAGATTAAATTATCAAGAGAGAACATACCATTAAAAAATTCATAAAACAGAATCCTGTCGAAATATTCAATGCAACAAGATAAAAAAAAGTACTCCTAGTCTAAATCTAATGATCTTACCAGAATAGTGTAATGTAGATAGGAAAGTTTATTAAAAAGAAGACAAATTTTATTAAGTTTGCTAGTAGTCAGTTGTAGGAAATAACTGTGGATATCCAAATTCAGTTGTGGATATCAAATTAGCAGTTGTCAATAACTGACTGAAAGTTGGAAGAAAATATAGCTCTAAGCACATTATATAAGGAAATGTTATGGCAGTGTCTCAGTTGTAATTAAGAAATTTTTCTTAGAAGATAGATATTTTACCTACATAAAACATTTAATAAATATGACAAAAATGCTACATGCAGAGGATGGGAGTACATACATTGATGATAGTTAAAGAAAGGCAAGATATTTTCACAACAAAGATTGAGTCATTGTACTCACAAAGTTTGATAATGTGTAACTGAGGGTGAAAACACAGTAGGATATCTCCATGTGTCTGATTAAACTCTGACGACAACCAGCTTTTAGTAAAGATTAGATCTCATAGTTGTTGATGTATATAAATTCACTTTAATCCAAAAAAAATTTGGTTGATTTTCTCACAGCAACTTTATTTCGGGTTGTTGTAATTTCACAACCCCTCCTCAGTGCTGATGTTTTTAGAGAAAAAATAACATAAAAACTCCATTTTCACATTTGGGTTTTTTCCATAAATATACATACAAAGTTTTTTCAATTTACATCCAGTTTTATGTATTTACTGGGTTTTCACTTGTTGTTTATGATGATGACTACTTGCCAGCTTTTTCAGTTAAAAACAGTATAAGTGTGAAACATTACAATACAATTTTAAAACTATAAAATGGTAAAAAAGGTGCAATTTTTACTTAATTGTTATTATGTATATTAGTATATAGGCTTACAAACATATCACACATTAATTTTTATCATCAGTGTATAAAACCTTAGTTATTACAGTGTAGTACATCATAGACTGAACTATTATTATATTTTATGTGGTAAAGCTCCATCTATCAATTGATACCACTGAGGGTTGATCGTTATGCCCTCTGAGATATTAATTAATTTTTCTTTAGGTTGTTTTTGTATTTCAATGTGTTCTTTAAATTTCCTTTTATAAGTGTATTGTAGTTGCTGTGAGAAAAACAACCAAATTTTTTTTCAGATTAAAGTGAATTTGTATACATCTAGAATATACTGCATCCATATTACATAGACTCATAGTTATTGTTTAACAGATGGGTGGAAGTAGCATTTATTTTTTATAGATTTTACATTAAAAAAAATTTTTAATACCATTGTGTCAACTTTATGAATATTATGGAATCCCTTATTTTGGAAAGTTATTTTGTGTTGGTCCAACTCTTTTGCCTCTGCTGTATAGTCAGTGTGTGAGAGGACACCTTGATGGAATATGACATTATCTCCATAATTTGATGAGCTGACAATGGGTTTCAGTGATGGAAGCTTTTTTTGAAAATTGAATATTTGTATGGACTTTTTCTCAAGACTACTTTTCTTACTGCTCCATTGTTTGCAAGTGTTAGGTCATAACTGTGTCCATTCTAAAGACTGGCACGCACCAGTTGTTACAATATTAGCACTATAATGCTATACTATATAGCAAACTTAAATCAATTATTGGACAAATGAAACTCTGCATAAGTTTGTAGCATGCTGAAAACTGGTGCACACCAGCCTTAACCATTTAATTTTATCAATTTAAGTTTAACTAACTACTTATGTTGGAGTTATACTTGATAGTGCTTTTATTTTTAAACTGCAAATCAAGTAAAGTTACTTTTTAATCACTCCACATCAGCACTGAGTATTTTATACTTAAAATATGACTGAATTGTATAAAACAGATAATTCAATTTCCTGATAGTTAATTTTTACTAATTTCAGGAATTTGATATCTTAATTTAATTGGATAAAGAAAAGCATGCCAATTAATTAACCACTGCATAAAAGTTTGAAATTGTTGCATTCAGTTCTTTTTTCTCTTTGGAATTAAAATTAAATCAAATCAAACGATCAACTGTGTCAATAGGACACTATGGCTTAAATGCCTCTTTTACGTATTCAATTAAATTAATGATTGAATCTCTGTAGATACCTCTCAGACTTCCACATTATATTTGATTGTTTTTAAATTTCCATATAAATTAAAATATATATATATCTTAATATAATAATAAAACTTTTTAAAATATATTGTAGGCATGTATACTAAAAATTTAGTAAAAATAATTCTTAATGAACTTCTTAATAATTTTTATAATATTAGAAAAATAAGAAAACTGCCTTTATCACAGTAAATTTATAACAACTTACTATGAGAAAGGCAATGTCTTTTTGGAATTTTAATGCATTTTCTAATTTTATTTTTGGAACTTAAAAATAATAAAATAATTGTTTATTTCAAAAATAATTTTAATCTAAATTACGATATCTTTTCTTTTAGACTTTTTAAATTGTTGGAAGAAATAACAAATGAAAAAGAGAATAAGGTAACTTTATTATGAAAGATTTTTAGATAATCTTTTTATAAGTAATTACTAAGATGTTTTATTTATAATTAAATCTGTTTGGTTTCGTTTCCCTTTTTTTTTTTTTTCTTATGTCTATAATTTTCTCTTTATTTTATTAAAATTTTTCAATTACAGACAATTATTTTTGCTGAAACAAAAAGAAGAGTAGATGATTTGACAAGAAGAATGAGAAGAGATGGGTAAATAACTTGTTTGTTATAATTGGATTTTAAAGAAATAAATAATAATAATTAATATATAAAAGATTCCTAAGCACCTGGAAGTCACNAAACAGCAAAAATAAAATACTAAGACAGAACTGCTGAAATTGTGTCAGGCTAACTAATGGGATGCTGAAATTTTGTTTTGTTTGTTCAGTAACTGTTGGGAAAATATCAGACAAAAATTAATGTTACTACTGTCTTTTAACTTGAAAACTGTTTAATAATAATATAAATTGTATATTTGAATGTAGCTTTAATTAATATGAAATGATTTTTAAACTATAGGGTTTAGAAAATGAAAGAAAGAAATCAAAATTGTAATGATAATTTGATTCTGTTGACAAAATGACAGAAAATAATGAATGCTGTTGTGTGTAAACAAGACAAGACATCATGTGGTCAAGCTTGGAGTATCATTCTAAATATATATAATTATTTTAGTTAAAATACACTTTACTGTTATATGTTATAAAAAGATAAATAAATAATAGCTTTTCTCATTTCTTAAAACCATGTGGATTTATGGTTGTGGATTAATAACAGAATAAACTACTATAATTTAATAAAACATTTTGCTTTTAGTTTTAATAATTTGGCAATTATAAAAAATATGTAATGGTTAATTAGAAAAATTAGCTAGTTAAAAAGTTGGAGAAGCAATAGCATAAGTGCATAGTAAGTCAAATGTTATTTTATTTTGTCAATGTGCCATATGGTAAGGTATGTGACGTTCGGAGAATTTGTACAAAATTGGCCAGGGGATGTCAGGGAATTTAAAACAGAAATTTGAATAGGAACCTTATATATAATAATTAGATAATGTTTTAAAATTTGGATGGATTTTGTCAGCATTGCTTTTTTTTTTTTTTTTCTTTTTTGAATAATTAGGAGAGAGATGATTTTTTGTTATCTGTCTATGGTTATAAAGACCATTTATTGATTTGTGACAATTAATGATAACTATTTTATAGTTTATTTTGTATAATTATTACAAATGAAAGAATGCTGATTTCCATCCCATTCACTATCTCAAATTGTATCATTATCATAATTTATGGATATAGGCTTGTAAACATAAATGGTAGCTATGAACACAACACAAGCTGTCATTGGATAACAAGAATTGTTCACTTGAGAAAATAAAAGCTTAAAGAACACTAAAATGAATAATTTTAATGTATTTTTAAAAAATTAAAAAAAAAAAAAGTTTTATTGGTAATGTTTTTGAGATTGGGGATGATGAAGTGTTCACCCTCAACATACTCCACTTCAGTTTTAATCCTCTAAAACATCATTAAAATATGTTGACATTGGACTTAGGTGTGTCTTCAAAGTTTCAGCTTTCTGTCTTAATTATAAGTGAATGAAATTTGAGATGCATGATTTGAGGACACGATATAAAGCAAGTTAAATAAAAGTGTTTAAAAAAATTAAAAACTGCAAATATTTTTACTTGACTAATTGTGCTTTTTTGGTCAGAAAAACTGATCCAAAATAGAACATAAATTACTTATTGAGTGGAACATATTTGCAAAATACAAAATATTGTGAAAAATGAACTGAATGATGGATTAAGGTGTTATGTCAAAAAATAAATGTAAAATTAAAAAGTATTAGTTTTTTTTTTCCTCTGCTTAAAACTTGGATTAGACAGAGGAGGAAAAAACCTGTTTTCCCTCTGTTATAGCATCTTAATTCATCCTTTTATTTCATTTTTTTATATTCTGTATTTTGAAAATATGTTTCGTTCATTTGTAATTTCAATTATGTTCTATTTCTGGTCAGTTTTTCTGCCTATAGAAGTTTGATTGATCAAGTGAAAATGTTTGCTAAGATTTTCAATTTTTTAACTTGCATTCATTAAATTTTTATTTTCTTTAACATTGGCTTAAGTAAACATTTATCTGTTTAGGCTGGTGAACACTGCAGTAAGATGCAGTCTGTAACTTAATTGAATGCTTTATATTATAGCATGTTTGTTATGAGCTCTTCTGATTTAATAAATTTTATAAGTGATATTGGTATAAAATCAATGAAATTTTAATACGAATCCCTTTAATTTCATTATGTTTACTGCATATTCCAGAATAGTTTCAATAGATTGTCTTACATTCTGTTCTTATTAATGTTTCTTTGCTAATAATTCTGATTTTCTGTTGAGTTTAAATCTACTTCAATTTTTGAGTTTTTTTTAAAATAATCTTCTAGTGATACAGTTCTTTTAGGACTATAATTGTATAACATATAACTTATGTTAATATAACTGTGTTTATATTTGTAATTATATGGACTAATAAACATTAGCTTGACTAGACTAGAGAATTTGTGAATTGCCACTTAAATAGTACATTTGNTTCTTAATTTTTATAGTATTTTTGTCAATTTGGCACCCATAACTATTGCAGTGTTCTGCTACTGCAGAATTTGCATAATTACCCCTTATTGCACGTATGTGCTCTTTTATTCTTGTACTGAATTTTCTTTTTGTTTCTCCAATATAAATTTTGACTGGATCACAGCTGCAATTGAATGAATACACAATTTCTTTTTCTTCCGACCTATGATATAAATATCTTTTAAATAAATTATTTTTTTCAGGTGGCCAGCAATGTGTATTCATGGTGATAAATCACAGCCTGAAAGAGATTGGGTTCTAAATGGTAAAATGTTTTTTCATATTTAAGTACATTGAAGAACTAATATTTTTTTGTAATTTATTGGAAATGTCTTATAATGAAGCCAAGTTTTTATAAAGTATTATTTTGTTTTTATTATTTTATACACAATGAATTATAAATAATGGTTATGTTAATGTACTGACAACTAAATTAGTGAAACAGCTACAACTTTTTTAATTATCATTGTATTTTTTTCCCTCTAAAACAGAAATACAATCATAATTTTTTAAAAATAAAAATGCTTTAAAACAGATTGCAATTCTGTATTATTGTTGATATAATATAAGTAATGTTGCTTTTCTTTTTTACAAATTTCATATTCCTCCAGTTATAATTTTATCTTTATCTTTCCTGTCTCTTGAGTTATTCTAATTTCCTGCATGTAATTTAGTTAATCTGAAAAAATTTTAAACAAAAATAAAAATGTTGCATAACTTACTACACTGACTGTCATTTATCTTGCACCTTTAAGTTAAGTTGCTGTTCAAACATGTCACTATGCAGTTTATAAAACATCATCTCAAATATTCTATTTTTTCCTCATTTCTTTTGTTCTTTTCCATTAGTAATTTAATGTAGATGTAATTTAAGAATATAAATGAAACAGCAAAAATAAAATACTAAGACAGAACTGCTGAAATTGTGTCAGGCTAACTAATGGGATGCTGAAATTTTGTTTTGTTTGTTCAGTAACTGTTGGGAAAATATCAGACAAAAATTAATGTTACTACTGTCTTTTAACTTGAAAACTGTTTAATAATAATATAAATTGTATATTTGAATGTAGCTTTAATTAATATGAAATGATTTTTAAACTATAGAGTTTAGAAAATGAAAGAAAGAAATCAAAATTGTAATGATAATTTGATTCTGTTGACAAAATGACAGAAAATAATGAATGCTGTTGTGTGTAAACAAGACAAGACATCATGTGGTCAAGCTTGGAGTATCATTCTAAATATATATAATTATTTTAGTTAAAATACACTTTACTGTTATATGTTATAAAAAGAGCAAAAGTTTATTGTTAGCATTATAATTATTGAGCTACATGTTTTAATCATCAATGAGACTGACTTACCATGTATCAAAAATTATTTTTAAAAGTTACATTTCATTGGATATACTACAAATATATGGTGATAAGTATAGTATATGCTAAAATGAAGTTGAAAAAAATTTTTAACATTGATAATATCCATAGCATGTTTTATGTTTGAACTACCTGGGGCTGGTGTGGCTCTTGATGGTATTGATTACTATATTACACTCCACTATTAGATAGTGGAGTGAATTAGTGGTAAATAAAGCAATTGTCATTAATGTCATTGTTATAGATTTTACTTGAAAAATTGTACATAGTTTACAATATCCAATGAGATAAGTTTGAGAGTCAATTTTTTAGCTCTTATTCACCAAAGAGAATTAAAATATACTAAAATCTATGGTTGGCTTTTAAGTAATTCTCTTGAAAGTCATTATATAGAAAGGGAGAAGTTACTAGAAATTTATTAGCTTCAACGTACATGGACTGCCAAAAACTTCTAATTGTGGTAAAGCACTGTAATAGTAGGACATGTAGAAATGCTTATGTAATCATCTTTAAAGTAGGACCCTTCAGCATGCACACACTTGCACCATCAATCCTGCCATTGATGTAAGCACTATTAGAAGGTTTTTCAGAATATTCAGGAGTTTTGCTGTTGCATTCAATTTGATGTCCTCTGTAACCACAGAGGACATGAAATGTGTCCCTTCAAGACCCATTTTTAATGTAGGGAACAACCAAAAATAGGAGAATGAATAGTTTTTAATTTTAATTTCTTTGTTTATAAGTTATTAGAAATGGAAGAAATCCACTTTCAAAATTGTAAAGCAACATGAAAAATATATCAGAATGATGCTAGTTAATTTACTGATGCATTCTGATTTTGAGAAAAAATTCTTTTTGTACATTTGCATCAAACATACAAAAATAATTTATTTTGTAAGAATTTTGTATCAGCATGCCAGATGCAATGATGCAGGTCTCAGTTAATAATAAAACTGTATTAAATTAATTTGTAATTTTACTTAGTTTTTTTTTTTTTTTTTTTACANTTTTTAATGTTATAACTTTAATTGTCCACAATATAATAATTTATTGAGAAGTTTTAAGGCAAATTTGATGATGTTATATATCCTTAAGTTTTTGAATTACGTTTTGGATTTTTATCATAAAATTACAAAAAATATAAAATTAGGTTTCTATCGTTTATAATAAAAATTCAAAACTACTACAAATTTGCTGAATCAAGTAATAATGACTAATTAATATATTCTCAGATATATGTCAATAATAATAATGTTTTTATTCTGATTGTGTATACACAGTAAAGTATGTTTAATTTATTAGGCATGCTTGATTTTCTTCCAGCAAAACGGTAAATTTGGTATCATACGTACATTACTTTAAATCTACCAGTTTTAATGAAAATATTAAAATTACAATATTATGAAACATTATTTCCCTATTAAGAATATCTTATGAAAAAAGTTAATAATAGTCCTCCAAATAAATAAGCAATGGTTGTGTGTATTGTCATACTGATCATAATGAATATAACAATTATATTTGCTTATTGTACAACCTAATTTCACATCAATCATTTTATATCCTGCTAGTTTGTGTTCTAACATTATTATTATTATTATTTTTTATTGTAAAATTCAATTTAAAAAGTAAATGTTCAAAATATTTTTGTAACCACTACATTTTTCATAAATCAGGTGCTGGGTGTGGCATGACATGAGAGGGGGACATAATTTAAAACTTAATTTTAATGTATTAACTCTTTAATGCTGAAAATTTAAAGCATATAACTGATGATAAAATCTAAAAATACTTAGTAAACTTGATTTTCATACAAGAATTTTAAATTCTTTAAAGTATCTTAAAATATCTTTAAAGAATAGAATGAAATGTATTATGAAAGTAAAAATATATTAACAAGCAAAATCATTTCAAACTTGTTTAAAATGAATTAATTATATTTCAAGAACAAGCATCACTATTGTTTAACTGTATATGAATGTGATGATTATTTTTTCTCTTTAAAAAAATAATCTTTAAAATTCAAGTATTAGAAAATTCTTTATATTTAATAGTAATTTAATTTTCATTGAATCATTGCTTTATAACTGAAGATTCTGTGAAAAATTGATGTTTTTCTAATGCTAGATTTTATTCCCGAGCAATTAACAATAATTCAACTTAAAAGCATTTATTATAATATTAAAAGATACTATTTTTTTTTAGAATAAACTATATATTAAGATAAATTAGTTGATTAAAAATAAGTAAAATTCTCCATATTTTGTTATTTGTATTTGTTAGGTCAAATACATACGAGTGTATTCATTAAAAAAAAAATTACAGGTGACTCAATTAATTATTCAATTAAAATGACTCAAATAATTTTTTTGGTTGAAGTTCTAGTCAGGGATTTCTAGGGCAGTATTCTAAATTTTTTCCACTTTGTCACTATTTCTTGAAGTTTTGAATATAAAAAGACATTCAAAATTGATTAAAATTAAGAAAAATTAGTACTTTGGTGAACAGAATTAACTAAAGTATACTGTAGCTATGGATAAAATTTATCATCTTTATCCTCTTTGAGCAATATCAAAATAATTTGTAAGCTGACAATGATTACATGAAGGTAGGTATTAGTATTGCATTATACATTGGTGTACATTTCTGGTTAGAAAATTTTACTTAATTATTTGGAATTCTAATTACTTGAGATTAATTAAGAGTTTAATTGAAGTGAATGAAGTGCGATGATATTTTATTAGTGAATAATGATGATAACATTTATTTCTCTTTGAACTTTTTATTTTTTTAAATTTAAAAAAAATGTAGTTGTAATATTCTAATGTAACGGGAGAGATAGATTAGAGGTTTGCTAAATTCTTTCCACTTTTCCCCTCTTGATAAATTACAAAATGAAAATCTGAATTATTTATTTGCCATTAAAGATTTATCATTAAAAATTTGCTAGATTCGTCATGTTTTGACTGTTGAGGTAAAATCGAAGAACTCGACACTGCTTCAATCTTAATAATCTTTTGGAAAATATATAAAATGGGAACACTCAATATCAGTTTCAGTTTTAACATGGAGTCAAGGTGTTAAATTTATTTCGATCATCAATTAGTATAATTCTGTAGAAAATTGTCTTTAGGTTTGAATAAAACAATTTGTGGTTGGCTATTCTGCCTAATTATTTTCACGTAAAAAAGAAAATAGCTTGAGAGAGGGCAGAAAAAGATTTTTATCAAGTAAATTTTTATTTTAATATAAACGTTATTTCATTAAATAGTTATAATATTTGTTTTATTTATTGGAATGCAAACAGATTTAATTCTTTATTCTTCATAATACAGAAAAATTAAAGTGTGAAAATTTAACGTTGAGCATGCTATCAAAATTAATTATTAACATAACGTCAAGTTATATGAATTCAATTGTAAATTTTCAATTTTTAGTAACATATAGAAATTTTAAAAACTTGGAAAATATTCAGATGAAAAGCATTAAAGAGTTAAGTAGAATTAATAGTAATTAGTAATAAGTACAAATTAATAATGGTTACATTTTGATTTAAATAAGTTTTTAATTTAATTGACTTTAGATATTCTAATATGAAGCTTTCTTCTCTTTTACAGAGGCACACTGTAATGATTGGCAATAATATAAGTCGTGCCTCTGAACCAGGAAATTTGGGTGATACCATCCTTCCCATGCGGGGTGGTCAACAAATCCACCTCCTGTGGGATCTTGGCCATGTTCTATGAGGAGATAGCTTGCTTCGTGAGTCCCTCTTTAACAGTAATAAAGCGAAAGTCATGTCATCCCCATCCTTCTCGAACGTCCTGTGGGGTTAAAGGGTTTTACCTGTGGTTGGTGCAACTGCTAGGCATAACAGCTGCTTGAGAAAACTTTTGTATGTCTTCGAACTTTTATCTCCAGTTATTGTAACAAAAATAATATCAATGCAGCTGAGGCAATGAGCTTGCAATCAAACAAAGACTGTCGATACGTTCACAACGAGGATTCTGGATAGGTAGGAATAAAAGTTTGGGTTGGGCTCCGCAAGCATCTTGCCTATCTTGCCGTGGCAGCTTGGGGCTCTCAGTATATAAAACTGCTGGAATTTACCTCAAGCCTTGACCATCCACGGTGCTGTGCTGGATTTATTGAAAGAAGTCAACCACAGGTAACTGATTAGTGTCTATTTCTTAATATATTTCATATTTTTCTTTAATTTTTTATTTCATTTTATGGGGGAAAAAACAAGTCATTTCAAAATGTTTTGTCATTATATGTTTTTAGTAATAAGGAGATTTAAAAAAACAAATACATTTAAAGCGTTACCTTGTTAAAAAAAATATATATACTTTTATTATTTATTACGTAGATGAAAGAATCAAAGATCATTTAATTTGTAATGTGTAAATACTTTTATACTAAAATTAAAATTTTTAAAGTATGTTTTATTGGTTTGGTTTGAGTTAAACTTTTTAATGTTATAACTTTAATTGTCCACAATATAATAATTTATTGAGAAGTTTTAAGGCAAATTTGATGATGTTATATATCCTTAAGTTTTTGAATTACGTTTTGGATTTTTATCATAAAATTACAAAAAATATAAAATTAGGTTTCTATCGTTTATAATAAAAATTCAAAACTACTACAAATTTGCTGAATCAAGTAATAATGACTAATTAATATATTCTCAGATATATGTCAATAATAATAATGTTTTTATTCTGATTGTGTATACACAGTAAAGTATGTTTAATTTATTAGGCATGCTTGATTTTCTTCCAGCAAAACGGTAAATTTGGTATCATACGTACATTACTTTAAATCTACCAGTTTTAATGAAAATATTAAAATTACAATATTATGAAACATTATTTCCCTATTAAGAATATCTTATGAAAAAAGTTAATAATAGTCCTCCAAATAAATAAGCAATGGTTGTGTGTATTGTCATACTGATCATAATGAATATAACAATTATATTTGCTTATTGTACAACCTAATTTCACATCAATCATTTTATATCCTGCTAGTTTGTGTTCTAACATTATTATTATTATTATTATTATTTTTTTTTTTCATCCGTTCTTTAACTATCTAAATATAAAATCGAAAAACCTTATTTTAAAATAAATAAATAAATGAATTTTAAACAACTTTGAAATTTGTGCAGACGTTTAGCATGCACATCCTTATATTTGTTTATAATTAATGAGTTTATCTCATTCTGTTAATGTTAACATTTGGCTGTTGATAATTGTTACTCACAGAATTCAAAAATCTTTTAGTTTATATATAAGTGCAATAACCAAAGTGCTGTAGCACTGAAATGAGATTCTGTTGTTCCTCGTTATCTCAGAAATAATACAGTAATGAAAATAAGAGTTTTCAATATATTGTTATATGCGATGAGTGCATGCGAATTTTAAATAATTAAATCAGAACATTATGCAGCTTCTTCAGAGTGACAGAACAAATGATGAAAGTATTATTAAGCATTTTGAACTATGAAAATGCATAAGTTGATGATGATGTATGGATCAACAAATTATGTAGTATGATGTAACTATGAATCTTAGTGCTGCATGTTTATAAATTAATCAGATTTTCTAATTTTAAATACTGGGCCTTTCGAAAAGAATGCTACCGGTTTTAATTGTAATTAACTTATTTTAATTATGTTAATTGTTATCCAAGAACATTGTACTATACAAGGTCTGTCCCAGAAGTAAGTGTACTGATTTTTTATTTAATGACTGTGCAGTTTAACACAGTCATATTTACAAGTATGTACATATCATACATGTATTTGTAAGTTTAGATTACTTTTTTCCCTGTACTATATTAAAAACTAAAATTTATTTGTTTGTAAGCTTAAAATAGATTCTTATTAACCATATATTATTAAAAATGCATTTATAAATAAATACAGAACTGGGAATGGTTATTTGTGGTTTAGCCTAGTGACAAGTAAATTAACTTACATCGTTTTTTGACTTAAGTCGCCTCTCCTGGAACCAATTACTGATGTAAGGCGAGGTATACCTGTACTTTGAAATAAAAATTCGGAACACTTACTTTTGGGACTGACCTCATATGTTAAAACATTGGAAAACTATCCAAGTTTCATATTTGTCAATTACAGTTTCTTAATTCTTGCTCCTTGCATCACATGACATACATCCTACCAATACTCAAATTCTTCCTACGCTTGCTACGGCACATCCATCGTCACTCCTTCTGCGGCAGTTACAATTCTATGGCTCCCGCAGATTACTCATGTTGCATAACGAGGAGCAATTCCAGCCTTATAAACTGCAGAATGCAAAATGTCTTTTCTGTCATGAAGTTGCCATTTTTCATTTAGGATGTTCACTAGAAGTAGTAGATGACAAGGCATTAGAATGCAGGCAGGAGACAAAGTTCAAACTGTTACTTTGTCAACTTGCATATGTTGCATGCTACTTGGATAGTAATTATCATTATTACAGTAATTTAAAATGGTAGACCCTTGTATATTAAAAACATTGCATATGAATAACTGATTTTACGTTGGTTTTTAAATAAAATATCATTAATATTTTAAGTGAATTCACTTTGTTTTCATACTATTCTAAGCATTAATAATAGTATAGATAATTAATAATATATTTTATAATTTCATTTTAAATTTTGCAATCACTTAGTCGAAAACATTTTGATATATTCTCTCGCTGGTTTTGACAAATTAGTTCTGTGTTAGTATATTTGTTATGACTACGTATCCTACGTGCAACACTTAATTTGTTGGCATACATAGGGCTGTCATCTTATTTCAAAAACAGAAAGACTAGACACGCATCAAACAACTTTGATGTTTATGGAAATAATCTTGCTGATCAATGAAAATCAAAGCAGTTGATTAGTTAGACTTATTGAATAATTTTGTTCTTCGATTGCTAGATGATCACTCTGTTTACTATCAAATTCCTTATATTTTTATTAAAAATAAATATCATTGTGTATTACGTCTGCCCTCCGATCATCTTTGCTCGCCCGCATTTCGATACAAAATCAAGATACGGATAAATTTTATAATTGCATGTAAGTAATCATTTTTATGGTTAAGATATTTAAATTATGATAAAAGTATTTAACTGTTTCCAATTAAAATTAATTTCATTTCATTAATTTCATTCCTTTTCGTCTTAATAACCGATACTAATGTACAGTACATTCCCATAAATTAAACTTCTCTGTTATTTTTGTTTATTTGAAGAAATAGTCATTAATAAATTCAAGTTTTTCTATTTTAAAATAACTACAGACTGTATCATTCTGTGCTAATTACTAATTTAATTTAAAGTAGTGCCACATAACTCTCTGTCTAACATTAAACTACATGACAATTGCAACGTAAAATATAATTAAATGAAATGTCTGAAATAATGTTCCCAGTTAGTTTGCCAAATACTGATTTAAAAAAAAATGCAATTTCTGATTAGGAATATCATTTTAAACTTTATCATTAGATTTCCTTGCATTAAATTTAAACTGTTTCGTAAATTGTGTTTGAAAATACAAAATAAATCTTCAAAGTCTGGCAGGATATTTAAGTAACATTTCTGGCTTTTACAAAGTAGCGTCCACAGAGGAGGACAAACAGGACACTTGCCCCGCCCCGAGATTGTAATCTGCAGAATTTTTCACTCAATCGTAAAAGTGACCAAGATATGTAGCCTTACGCCCCCAGTGATGGGAAGCTTCAATGTCATACCATGTTCTAAAGTCTACTTGTGAAATAACCCCAGTAACTTAAATAAAAATTTATTGATGTAATTATTTGTCTCCAAGTTTTGCCCCAAGGAAAACATTTGCAGACACCCATGGTTTGAGGATTTACTTTGGTGGTAGATCCAGTAAAATATAATGTTTTAAGATACCAAAAATACTATAATATACAAGTTAATGTGATTATTACACAAAAGTTTTATTTTCTGGACTTCTTAAGTTACTATATTTTTCAATATCCATCATAAATGACACATTTTGATACATTATTAATTTATTTGATCTTGAGTTGAAACTAAAGAGAACTGATTGTAATTTAAGTACTAATTACATGTTTTATTATTAGGAATATATTTAATTTGTCATTAATTAAGTTCCGATAAAAGAAAACTGAATTAACGTTGAATGGTACAAAGTTTGGCGGAAATAATTTTTTGTTTATTAATAATTAAGATGATAAATTTATTACTGCCTTTATTTAAGTATTTTTAATTTTCACTGTTTCTATATTTTAATTTTTTACTCTTTCTACTTAGTTAAAGTTGTATGTAAATTAGCCTTTTTTTTTTTTTTTTTTAAATTAACTTTTAGTAATAAATATTTATTGTTAAACTTATTATTTTTGCATGAAATGTTTAGTTAATTAGTACGAAGCAGAATTAGATTATTCAGATTAGAAAACAAGATATCATAGAGGAAACGTCATGCTGCTTCTGTTTACGGCGTAAGTGCTTATTTGTAAGGTATAGAAGGTCTAAGAAATTGACTGCTTTAAGGCCTAAAGCCAGAAGAAAGTCGCTCATGAAAGAAAGTAAGATAAGTAGTGACTAAAATTAATAAGATCGGCTTAAATTTTTTGTTAAAGTTATCGGCTTTAGGCCTGCCAGAATACAAATTGGTTTGCTTTTTTTAAACAATTTTTATGATTTAAAGTTATAAACTGTTGTCAGTATTTATAAGCCACATTTCTTATTAACAAAAACTAAGGGACATTTTAATTATCAATGTTTAAATACTTTTTTTTTTATATATTTGGTAAGTTATTGTTTTAAGAAAAGTTTTTTTTTATATATATGTGTATATAAAATCTTAGTTTTTTAAAGTAATACCCCATTTTATATGAAATAAAATTTTAAATTAAATATAAAAATCACAGAAGCAATGAAAAAGAAATAAAAATATATATTTTTTATATAATTTTAATGTTAATTTTTAAAATGCAGATGTGGACGATATAAAATTTGTGATCAATTTTGATTATCCTGCCTGTTCCGAGGATTACGTGCATCGTATTGGAAGAACAGCGCGCAGCAACAAATCCGGCACCGCCTACACTTTCTTTACACAAGGAAANATAATTTTAATGTTAATTTTTAAAATGCAGATGTGGACGATATAAAATTTGTGATCAATTTTGATTATCCTGCCTGTTCCGAGGATTACGTGCATCGTATTGGAAGAACAGCGCGCAGCAACAAATCCGGCACCGCCTACACTTTCTTTACACAAGGAAATATGAAACAGGCCAATGATCTGATTTCTGTACTGAAAGAAGCCAATCAAGTAGTCAATCCGAAATTGTATGAATTAACCGAAATGGCAAGAGGAATATCTGGAGGTAAAGGTATGAAAATTTTAAAGTATTTGCAATTCAAAACAAAAGCGCATCCTGCATTTTGACAAAGCCGTATACAGGGTGTGTAGTAAAGTCCTTTTACACTGATGTAAGTGAGCAACATCTAACATATAACACAAAGACTTAAGAAAACAAGAATAACACACATCAGAGGACACAAGAATGAACACTTGAAAAATATACATTTTATTGTCTGTGCCAGATGTGCATTTCATACTTTCTATTCATGCTATTTGTGTATGCAGGAATGTCTTTTTGTACCAAAATCGGTCACACTCAACAACTTCATAATTGACTTTTTCATATTGTGCATCATTTTTGAGGTGCTGTAAGTTTAGTCTTGTAGTGCGTAGTTCCTTTACAGTAACTATACATAATGCTCACAACCATAACTGTCTTTGTTTGCCAGTTATGTGGGTATATAAGACATTATTCTGCACCCTGTCTATTTTTGCCATTCCTTTTTCAAATCTATTAATGGTAATTTTTTGCCAGATATTTCTCTTTTGTTCCATTCTCCTTAGTTAACATACTGATATAGGAATTTAACTTGTATGTGTTAGTTTATATAAACTAGAATTATTATTTCAGAAATTGTACTCAATTAAAATTATTCAATATATAATAGGGTATGGTCTTGATTGTCTTATCTGAACAGGAACAATAGCAGACAAGCAATAAAGTACAGGGTGTCCATAAAATTACTATGCAGTGGGAAAAGTTTAAGTAAAGTTTTAATAAAAGTGTAGTTTTATATATGATATTACAGTTTCTCCCACAGCAAATGTGGGAAATGTTTCTCAGAGGCTCCAAAATCTATAGTGAGGTCCAGAGACCTAGCAGGCCAGATTCTGCTAGACATTATACTGTTGGCAAAGAAGTCTTCCAGGAACTGGAATATCTGCAAGTAGTAATGCCATATACTGCAAAGTGTGAGAACCGAAGACTTTGAAATAACTCCATTCCATATTCAGATGGAAATGTGAAAGAAAGATCAGAGAAATCTGTCTCTGAAGAGTCCCAACACCAGTTAGAATAAATTTAACCACATCCTAACTCACAATATTGACTTTTCTGAGCAAAAAAATATGTTAAAAATTAGCAAGAATTTTTAGGAGGGTTTACGTTAAATCGTTGATAACCTGGGATACATTGGGATCATAGGCTGATGATGGAGTTAGGCACTAATCAAATCAAATGATAATAATTTAAGGATAAATTTATTAATAAGGGATGACCAAAACTATTATATAAATGTGATTAAATATTAACTGTACAAAAAATATCATATAAAAATAAATCTCTAAAATACAAATGATTCTAAAAAGGAAATAAGATGAACGACAATCTTTTCCTAATGCCTTTCTGGGAGAGAGTTTACAAAACTTATATTACCTGTAATACATCCATATTAGACATGGAGTGTTGAGAGTTCTTGGGAACAAATAAAAATAGAGAATTGGGGAGAGGGACAAGAGCGTTGGTTAATCACGACAGCAACAATACCAATGAAAAACATGTGCCACTTGCCTTTTATACAAAAATTCCATCCAATCAGATTGTTGGAAATAAGCCCTCCATGCTTCCAATACATGATGGAAGTAGGGTGGTCTTATGGATAGTGTGTGATTTATCTCACGCAAACTATTGCTTTTGGAGAAACTAAACTTTTCTTCCAGTTAAAAAGGATGTTCCTCTTTCGACTTTAGAAATTTATCTATCATAAAATATTGATGCATACATGTAACTTTAATGACACTACTAATTTCCTACTGAATAGTAACTTTTTGGACACCTTACAACTGAATAATATGGAATCATATCTGGATAAGTTGTATTTGAAAATACATTATTAGACAGATCAGTAATAAGGTAAAAATCTATAAAATCCTTCCTTTATTTATTTTCATGTGTGATTTCACAGAAACAAGTCGTCACGCAGACTAGATGTTTTGAGATACTCAACCATCACTTTTTGATGTTTGAATGCAATTCTAAACTGATCCAGTCTCCAGTCAAAGCATTTTTTAAAATGTCAGCATAAAAAATAAAAAAAAAAACACAGGCCCACGTACATCCAGATGATTGAAGATTGAATAATCAGGATTTCTTACCGCTGATATTTGAGCATTTATCTAGGATTTAGCTAGATGACATAAGGAAACTGAAAATTTTGAATAATATGAGGTCTGTTCAAAAAGTTCCTGAACTTTTTGTATAGCACACCTCCAGTTGGTTATTTTTTAATCTGATTGGAGGCTTTGTGTCCACGGAAACCTCCCAAGTAACCTCCTTCAAGCTGTTTGTTGATATCTTGTTTTGGTGATGAGTTACGGCCGTTAGTAGGGTTCGGCAAAAAATTGGATCCACGGAAATGAGCTTTTTGAAGGAGCAGTGTTGTTCTGTGAAATTTTGGGGGTTATGAAATACCTAAGAGACAGAATCAGGCAAAAATGGCCTGAACTTTGGAGGAGCGGCAAGTGGTTTTTTTCACCACAACAACACGCCAGCTCATTTGTCCCTCAGAATTCATGAGTTTTTGGCCAAAAACAAGACCACTGTGCTTCCCCACCCACCCTACTTACCTGACCTGGCCCCATGCGACTTTTTCCTGTTCCCCAAACGAAAAAACCCACTCAAAGGAAAAGATTTACCACCATTCCAGAGATAGAGAAAGATTCGATGGAGAACTTGAGCATTCCAGAAGTGTTCTAGGACTGTTTCAAAAAGTGGAAACACTGTTGGGATAATTGTATATTTTGGGAGAAGAGTACTTTGAAGGGGACCCTGACCAATAAATTGTAAGTGAAGTATTTTTTCGTAATAAATGAAGTTAGGGAACTTTTTGAACAGACCTCGTATAGTTCAAGCAGTACGGAGAATTAGTAAGGAATTTCAGCGGTTTTGGATTTCTTTTTACTGTAGAAATTAATTTTAGATTTCTGTTATTGTCTCTTGTCCATATTTCTAAATTTCAATTCTGATTTTTAAAAATATAGAAAAAACAACCTTTGTATTATTCAAGATAATCTTGTTTTTTAATAATGGCATTCATCCTCCTTTATACTATATTAAGAAGTTGTCAATTTATTTTAATTATACCAAAAATTCTGAAAATTCACATAGATTTTTCCATTTTCATATTCTTTTCTCCTCTTCTTACTTTGATTTTAAATGTACAGTAACAGCTTGTATAAGATGAAATATTAATGAGATCATTTTACTAATTTGAGCATCTTGCAAAACAGTTTTAAGACATTAAAATTACTGTAACCAGTAGACTTAACCACTCGTCTAGTTAATTAAAATCACTATCAGAGTTACATTATGGTCAGTTCAGAAATACTTTGTTTCTCTTTGTCTGTTTCCTTAATCCAGCTCCACACTTTTTATTTGGGACTTAGCAAAAAGTTAATGCCTATGATATGGTGTGGGAAACTGTGAATACCAAATATCGGTCAAACATTTGCATACTAGGCATTCAGCAAATACCTAGTATGTGGAGCCAACTTTATATGATTAGATGTAAACACAACAAATACTTGTTATAACCACTATGTATTCATTTAGTGTTAACCTGTTATACATGTATAACAGATATATGTTAATGAATTGCAAAATACATAAAATTTTCTATTGTTTATTTTTCTCAAATTAAAACTTAACGTGAGATTTTATTTTATTTTATTTCTATTGTTTTTCAAAGTCTGACAGCAAAATCTCATCTATATATTTTAAGAATTATGCTCTTCCATTAATAAGTCGGTTCAGAATTCTACAGATTATGTTGCCATAAAGTATTTTCCAATAATGTAGAAATTATTGAATTTCTAGCATTTCTTTATTTATGCAGAAAAGTCAGAAAGTAAGGTTCCCTTTTTAGAGTGAAAACATGGAACAGATATAATGAAATTGAAAAATAGATTGTTTGCATGTTTATGTTATGTTGAGATTTTATTGTAGCCTCGGTAGTAGAATGATGCATCCTGCATATGTAACGCACATTTGACTGCTTGATCGTCGTCGTCATCAGAGTCAGAATAGATGCACTAGAACAGATAGAAATCTGACAGTGCCAAATCAAAATTAGGCAAGGAGGGAAATGAATTTTACTGCCAAGAACACTTCATGGTCAGATATTATCGTACAAAAGTATACCTCTATGGATTTCCGCCCATATCCTCTAACTGAAGATGGACTTTTGATGTCTCTGCTTTCCAGTCCAATGATGACATCCAATAAGTTAAGCATTGGCCAAATCTTCAAGATGCATCTTTCTACTACAGAGAAATGTTTCTTAATTTACTGCCACACTAAGATGTCTCGACAGGTGAGACAACCTAAATCAAAAAGTAATTCGAACATGTGCCCTTATTTATTTCCGCATCATAACGCATTTACATTCAAGATGGAAAATTATAAATTTTCCAATTCCCTCGTATTTTATATATTGAAGGTAAAAATGGCAAATTACTTATTTTTTAAAGAAAAATAGTTATTTTATAACAGCTACTATTTTACAAAGAAAATAAAATAAAATCTCTCATTTCATTATGTTAGACGTTCACGGGCCAAATTGATTAATTCCTTGGAATAATCATTATTTTTGCTTTTCGTGTAACCAATCTTATGTCATTTCACAGAAAATGTAACATGAAATATAAAAATGACATTCTACAGCATTTCTTTACTTTTTGTTTTGTGGAGTTAATCATTTTGGTAACAAGTGGCTCGTATAAAGGTAGAATTTATGAAGATGTATTTAAAAATATCACTTTTTGGTTTCCTAATTGTATACTTTTTTCTTTTATGTAGGCCGAAACAGATGGCGTAATTCGGCTAATGACAGCCGATCCCAAAAGAGAGACAGGAGCCATGAGACTTTCGGTGGCCCCCGTGGAGGAACGGGCATGGGAGCTGGAGCCAGAGGTGCAACAGAAAGGCAGTTGTTCGGATCTGGAGTAAATAGAGAGAGAGAGTTGAACAGAAGTCGCACGTCAGACCGCAGCAGGGCCGAAAAGTTTGGTGCCAGGGGCTCGCATGCCCTGAGCTACGGACGTGGGAGTTATGCCCCAGCGGCCACTGGCCAGCCCCAGCACTCACCGATGAATGGTAACTACAGCATGCCCATGAACGGTCCGTCGAGCCACGGGACCGGCATGAACCATGTTCCGGGCATGATGCTTCCGAGCATGTACAATCAGTATGGCAGTCCACATGTGTCTAGCCAGATGCATGGTCCGGCAGGTATTATGAGTAGTTATTATCAACCTCATAATTAATAGACCGTCTAAATTCGTACATATACATATATCTATAAGAAAAAACTCTGGGAACATTTTTGTTGGGACATGCTCGTCTACCCCGGCAACAGTTTTTTGGGAATTCTCAAGTATTTTAAAACTCAAACATCTTCATTGTTCGACATCATATCATTTAAGTAATCATAACGCAAATAAAAGAGAGATCATTCCATTGGTTTAGTAACAAAATTAAGTAATGTTGCAAAATTATCAAACGTTTTTCCTTATAAATTATTTGTTGGATTACTTGTTTTGTTTTAAACCTAGAGTTATTTGTATAATCACGACTATAGAATCCATAATGCATATGTGTATTAGTGTTTATTGGTTTCTTATAAAAAAAAAACATAGTAGTAATAAACCATTTTATAAGTCATTAACTTTAAAATTCTTGTGGAAAAGTTGTTCTTTTGCAATACATTTTCACCTTGTGCAAAGTAAATTGTTTCCTCACAGTAACAAACTCTCTAAAATCCGAAAGAATTACCTTTTGCCTGCAACAAAACCTAAAGAGCACCATATATGGGGTTTTCTGGCACTCGGGTGCCAATTTAGGAAAAATATGGTCACTTTCTCCATTAAGCATCAAACTATGCATGATTATATACAGTAGAGCGTCGTTTATCTGAATCAATTGAGGACTGGGGTTATTCGGATAACTTATTTTTCGGATAACCAATTGTGTACGAAAAAATACATTAACCTATCCTGTGTTGAAATTTTTCTCCGTTGCATGTTGCTTCGCGTTGAATTTTCGTCAATGTTAAGCCTAACGTAAACTTTTTAAAATAATAATCGTGGCTATTGTATCGTTAAAAATTATTTCTTTATTTTTTACAAACAAAATAAATATGTTGAAAAATATAAAAACAAAAAAAAAATTATACTTTAGAAGTTATCTAGTATCAAAAACGTTCGATTCAGCATGACACACAGTCCTCAAAAAAACACCACACAAAAGTGACAGTGCTGCCAGCTAAAAAACACACAAACATAAAAATATTGGAGTAGCCAAAGATTGCAGCACCACAGCACTAGCGAAAATTTAAATTTGCCAACTGGAATTCTTTTGGATAAATGACGCTCTACTGTACTTCCTAAAGAAATTTTTTGACACTAGATATTTGGATCTAAAACTCACATTAGATAAGAAAAATACACCCCACACAATGGCATTTAAAGCATTGATCATTCCAGTGTAGAGACTGTTTTGTAATTAAAAATTAATGAGAATGAAACAATGTATTTACTCTCAAAATATGTATAAAAAAAATTACAAACTATTCATTTTATATTCAGCTTTTCTGTTGGGCCACTGACAGCATTTCATGCGTACTCAACAGTTTTTCTCGGGGTTTATTACACATTCTGCCGGCTTCCTGTTCGACGAAATCGATCTTTTCCCAGTCATTGAACGTCACGGGAGTTATGCCTGAAACGAAACATTAACTTTAGGCATGAATTACAATTATTTAGCTTGCTTCCTTCTCGGTCCTAGATGTGTGCAAGCACTAGTGTTATAACAACTAATGTAATTTTTTGATGACTTTTCAAATTATTTTTTTTTTACAGAACTGAAATTGTGCACCACAAAGGGCACAATGTTGGTTCTGTCAGAGACATTCATGTAACTACAGGAATTCTTTGAGACTGCAACAAGTTGGCAAATAATTTTCATTATTGTTAGAAACCACAACACCAAGGTCTTTTAACATTACTTTTTCAATTTGTTCTGGTCCTTTTCTATCCCTCTATATTTTGTATGTTTAGTCACTGTAACTAGAAATTTCACTTTTGGTGGCGTGAAGTAAAATTGGCTGTACTTCCAAACTGCAATTCTTAGATCCAAGGTCATTTACTCATACACCTGATTTTTATAAATTAAATCTTTGCTGGCCGGCTGGCCCCACTGTGGCCCTCGACTGTCATTGGGATTGATAAGAAACAATGTCCCAGCAGTATTACCCGAGTTTAGATCTGGATTTAGCACAGATCTTATTACTAGATTGCTGGTAACGGTAGGCTGATACCCAATTGCGTGGACGTCTGACCAACTAGTAAACATATATAAATGTTAGTAGAACTAAATTTTCATGTGAACTGTCAATACCTGAGATAAATGTATCTTATGTCTGCTTTTATGTATCTTTTCACGTATAAGAATTTGTGCGCTTAATCATTGGTTCAAATTACTCGATCTGAAATGATAAAACACCTGCTTAAAGAGGGCAAATTAAGAGAATGAACCTTTGTTACGAAGCAAATTCAACACATGGTTGCGTCCCAACTTGGTTTCCGGGGACAGTCTGCCGCTTTCGAAATCTTCCGTCACTGCCTTCCCAGTCTGAAAACTGTCCGTCATGGTGTGAAGAATGACGCCTTTAGGACCCGTTCTCACCCATCCGCTACAATAAAGATCTGAAAATAACAACAAATGAAAATATTTGGTTATTTAACTGGAAACATCTGGTACATTTTATGTTAATAAACTCTCTAGTCTTGAACTTCTTGACTTTGTTATAAATTGTTTACATGTCATAAAATTAGTTTATATTTACAGAATTTACAAGAGTTTTTACATTTCAACTCTTGTGGGCATTTATAATAAAATAAATGCAATTTTATCCAAAAAATTTCTTACTTAATAATTCTTTTAATTGGAAAATCTTCATAACAAAGATTAAAGTATTTGTACGGTCACTTAAAGAATCTGTGCATGATAAAATTCATGACAGAAAAGTTAAACTTGCATTCTCTCTCCTTTTACAATAAAAAAAAATACTTTCATATTATCGACGAATGTAAGGTCTTTCCAAAATGACCTTTCGATTAAAATACATTTAATTAATACAAAAGACAATCTTGAGTTTAGTGTAGAAAAATATATTATTTTAGTGCTGCTAGATAATAAATTATTAGTGTAAAAGGTTTCTGTGGTAATTGTCGTGGTTCTAATGGTAAGGAAATTGATTATTATTCAAAATTAAATATTACAGTCGACCCCCCTATAAGATCATTGATTTTTCCGTTTTATCTGAATTACATGTTGTACGAGTCACTTAGATTTTACAAACATGTGAGCCATTCACAGTCCGGCACACGTATTTGTAAAATCTAAGTGACTCGTACAACATGTAATTCAGATAAAACGGAAAAATCAATGATCTTATAGGGGGGTCGACTGTAGTTTTCATTTTGTCGTTTTATACATTCTGTTCATCGCATGTGGTTAATAATCTAAGCCTCCTGCCCCTAAGTGTTCCATATCTGGTCTCGTTTTTCATATATCTAACTCTTCTCAAGATTAAGGAAGGAAGGAAAGACAAACAACGGTGGAATGTACAGGTTTGCAATTTTAAAATTGTAACCCAACCACTCTTAACAATCACTTTTTGTCACTTGCCAAAATTTCGGCAGACTATTACAAGTGCATTCAACTAAAACTTGTATTGGTGAACTTGTTTAACACGGAGATTAATACGTCCATTGTTTCTCACATTTCTTTTCTACGAGATGTACTGTATACTGTATACCAAAATGTAGTGTCTCAATAAAAGTAACACAGCTTATTATATACATTCATTCATAATAGTGTTCTCTCAAAACCATTTTAGCTGGTCGAACCGACCAGCTAAACTAATTGCATGCAATAGAATGGGTATTGTTTCATTGTCAACTGAGATTTGCAAGAAAATCTGTAGTGGTAGCCAGTAGAACATGATAACAGGTTTTTGTATGCGACATCCTTATTTCGGTTCTAGCTCATTCAAAGCCTAGTGTGTTTGAGTCTGCTTAAATTACCATAAATTGTGGTGTATTAATATCGGTTTCAAGTTATGGTATATTTTACGACAAATATGTCATCTATTAAATCTACAGTGGATGAAAGAGAAAAATTACCAAGAAACTGTCAATTTTAGTTTCAATGTAACAAAACAAAATGTTTTTTAAATATAAAATAGTCATTTCCTTCACCACCTCATTACCAATTTAATACTACTGCCAGACCATTTTTTGACTACACTTCTATGCTTCTGGCAAAGATATCAAAGTTTAAAATGCCAATTTTAAGTTTAATAAATTATATCTTAAAGAATGTTTTTTAGAATACAGTGGAATCCTGTACGATGCAGGGATATGTTCTGCATTATAGGAAATCGTGTTATCAAGATGTGTATTATTGGATGATTTTATGCAAGTTTAAAGTTGAAGAAGAAAATGTGCTGTATACCTCTGGATGACAATAACTGTGTGTGAGTATTAGTTGCAATTTTTTCATCACATATAGGGGAGCATGTTATATGGGAATTCACTGTAAAGTAGAAATTGCTATTTTCATTCTTACGCACTTATTAGTGCATAAAAACCAGAGACACTATTTCTATTTCATTCGAAATAAACACATTCTACTCCATTATTTGTTTTCTTAAATTTTTTAAACACACAGAAGACATCAAATTATTTTAACTAGGTATTTGCTAATTGATCAAATAAAAATGCTACACACCTTTTCATTTCCAAATCCTTATAAAGGATTGTTCATTTTAATGAATCCACTGGAATAACTCAAAAAATACATATCCTTCAAATAACTCGTTAAAACAAAGATGTTAGACTTTTAGGGAGCCACAATATGGTGTTATCAGTTTCATCATAAGTGGCACTACAGTTGGAAAAAAATGGGGTCGACTTTATTTTCTTAAATGGAAATTCCCGTTTTTAATTGCATGTTATGATTCTATGTAAAAGCGTGCAAAGTTTTATCCGAAAGACTTGTCAAAAGTTATGAGCATTTGAAGTTTTATGTGACTGGAATACTATGTGCGTGCATCTACGAATATCTGTGATGTTCATCAAGAAAGGGAAAAAAATGACTGGGTGAGTGTGACTGCCCATATGGTTGCCAGACTTGACTTCATCAGACTTTTATTTGTGGGGATATTTAAAGAATGTTGTATACAAACAAGAACCAACAACTACAGAAGATATGATTGGAAGAATCAAACTCTTACTATTCTGATTTAATGCCTGTTTTTTGAGTTATTCTAGTGTATCGATTAAAATAAACCACCCTGTGGACTTAAAATTTATTTTAGTAACAATTAAAAGCATTTTTAATCAATTTATGGACAAAAAGATATTGACAATTACAAATGTATAAAAATAAGTAGAATTTAATGCAATAAATTCTTAAAAAAAATCCCATACCATTAGTTCCCACAACTCTTCCATTAATGTTTGGAATGATTCCTTTTTCTTTGTCAAATGGCAACTCTGGATCTATTGAAAGACTCCTATAGCCGATACTTCTCAATATCTTTAAGATAAACGGGAAGGTTTTAAATACAAAATAAATAAGCACATTTTAAATTCAATATTAAAAAAGTATTTGAAATAATAAACTACAATATAATCTTTAAATAATCAAACAATCTGCTGGACTTTTATTGGTAAAGCTAATTAATAATTTGGATTATTAATTAGCCTTAATACGTGTTCCATAAAAATCTGGCAGATTGCTTGGTATCAGTAAAGTATCGGATTATGTACGTCGTTATGCAGACAAATGGTTTCCAAATTCACAGAAGTATGCCTAATACTGTTTGACTTTTAAGTTACTAATTATTAAGAGCATACAAGAATTTGTTGAAATTGCACAATTAAAATGGTTTTAAGTGTGTACTTTCAACAGATTTCAACATAACATTTCTTTGGAAATTGCAAACGTGTTGTCTTCATTATTTAATCAATTAAATGACTTGTTTGGCATGAAGTAATAGCATGTTACGAACTATATAAATGACATAGATTCTGCCCAGTACGTGCAAACTCTGTTTACAATGTAGGGACGGATGGTTGCAACACATCCAAGTCAAATTGCAGTAAAACGTTCCACTTCCTTCAAAATGGCAGACTAAAGCTTTTGCCATCACAATGGTCAATTTATTACTTTTACTACATTTTATGTAGACTTTTTAATGTTTTTAAATATTTTACATACACAAATAAATAACTTACCAAGCCACAATCTATTGTCTCTTTCTCTTCTGTCAAAATAATTTTTGGCTTATCATAGGAACCCTAAAATATAAAGAGAATCCAAAAATTAGTAATTTTAGATTCATTTAAAAAATTTGCATGATTACTCAAAAATAAAATACCAAAACAAGTTATATAACTGTTAACTTATAATTTAATATAATTTTTAATTTATAACTTTACTCAAGTAACATTTATAAATTAAGTGCTGAATAATCTGCAAATCTTGCAATGCCAGCATTGTAGAAAATAGTCTAGAGCAGTGTTTTTCGACCTTTTTCAAACTGTGGCACTCCTACTTCTTACCAATGTAGAGTTAAAGAATTTTACTTTTAATGCTGCATGTAATTAGCATTATGGTACTACTCTATGCTCTATTTCATGATACCTTTAAAGTGTCATTGTAAGACCCTTAAAATTTGTCTCTGTGGTGCCTCTGAAGTGTCATTGCAGCATCCCAGTTAAAAACCTCTTGTCTAGCAACATCTCTATGATCTGGTCTCTGCATCACTTGCATCTCAAGTGATTCAGAGACTGGAGCAGGTCTGTAAAAGCAAGATATTCCTAAATGCTAATTAGATCATCAGAAACAGTTATAAAACTGACATTTTTAATGAGAAAAAAATAAAAGGTAAAGTAAGAAAAATTTTAAATGTTATAGCATGCAATAAGCTTTATATACTAAGCATTTTCTACTTTAAAAATATTTCTTGCAAATGCAAAAATATATCATTAAAAATTGATTTTCAATATTCTGAAGAAAATAATTACTACTTTCAGCCCAATTAATTAATTTTTTTTATCAATCTGAAGAAATTGTAGACCTATAAATTCCCACTGTCATCCGTTAATCTCGAGAATGGTGTTAGACAAAAGTCGAGACCAGATTTGGAAAGCTTGGGGGCAGGAGGCCCCAATTAAATATATATGAACTTCTATTCTGGTCTGCACCAGAAGTCGTGTTATTTCAATTCAAAAATTTTCCCCCAAACAGAGTTAGATAGATGATTGGCATAACTCTATTGTTAACAGGAAAAGTATGATGTACAGGGGCAAGACACACTACTAAAATAAGATCTATATTTTAAATTGCAGCTCAGCATTATGAAGACATCACAATAAATTAATTGCTCGTTATTTTTAAAATGACATTAATGTTAAATTTAGTTTGAAATAATAACTTTTCTTTTTATAAGTACCTCTAATTTATTAATACCAAAAACTATGCTTTTTACACCGTTTCCATTGTCAGATGGAATTATCTCTAGAGGAGTTCTCAGGAATTTCAGTTCCCACTGTTTCATTTCCAACCGAACGTCCACAGATTTTGAATTTTCGCATGTTTTAACCATGAGCTCCGTCAGTCTTTGACGAGGTCGGGGCAATGCTAAAAACAAAGTATCCAATGAGAAAATTATATATATATATATATATATGATTTAACTATAAATCAATATAAAATTAACTTCAGTGTAATTCTGTCTTTTAACAAATTCTTTTGCCATGGTGCAATTTTTAAAATTTCACAATCATCACTGTCGTTCTGGCTAGTCTTGTTTGTTACTTTATCGTGTAAATGTAGAATAAAAAAAAATGCTTTCGTGACTTCCATGGCAGCAATTAAGGGTTTATTAACAGCGGTAGTTTTAAAATTTGAATTATTGACCAACATTTATATGTATCATTACTTATTTTTTTCAGCCATTTCCCGACTAATTAGTTTGGATATTGTAATACTGAATGCAGCCATGAATGCAGCCATATTTTTCAAGAAGTTCAAGAACTTTGAATTTCGTCCAGCTATGAATTGGATCATCATCAATCTTGTCACCATCATGTGAATATCAAAATGGTCTAGTGACAGTCTTTAGAATAAGAAATGTTTTTGCAATAGAATACTGAATGAAATAATATTTTTTCAATGGAACAGTTATTCATCTATTACTTCAATTATTGGAGAATTAATTGTCACTTGACAATTAATGATTAACATATAATTACTCGGTGCATCTGTAATATTCAACAGTATCTGTAGGATTAGGGATGTACAATCTTTTTTCTCTTCCATTCCTAAATTTAATCATACAATCCTTCAATCTCAATCCTTGGTTACCTCTCACAATCCTTTAAACCTAATTCCTTCATTGGCAATCTCCTAAAACTTCTCAAATTTGTGTGCTTATATTTTATAATAATAAAATTTCTGAATTTTACCAAAATTTAAATAAATATCATGAATTAAATGATCACTGTGACAATGTGCAACTACTGAATTCAGAAACTTCTGTCTGACAATGAGAAGAATCAATCTTCAGAAATTTACTCTTTGAGTACTTGAAGAGCAATTAAATCTATTTTTTTTATGTCTCTGTGTGTTTTAATATCTAATGAATTTCTGTTTTATAAAGAGCTACAATTTGTCTGTCTATTTTTTGTTTTTTAAAATAAGATGTCAAATATTGGTGTCAAAATAAAATAAAATATTCTAAGAAATAGATTAAATTTAATCAATTAGAAAACAATTTATATTACTTGGAATCATATCTTTTAGAGATCGGAAATCATTTTCTTCCAATAGGGCACAACATCCGGGCAATTTCGTCATTTCCCGAAGTTCTTTGATGGTGAAAGCTACTTGGAGAGGTCCTCTTCTTCCTACTAAAACTACTCTCTTGATTTTACTTTTGCTAAGAGCATTGAGAGCATTCTGTGTGATATCAGTCTTCTAAAATAAAAATAGATTAATAACAAAAATTTAGTATATAATTATACTATTTTTTTATAAGAAAATAGAAGCATGTTATATATCATAGGGTAAGCAGTACAGTCATCGGCCATTTCAAATATAAACTTCTTTAAATGTACCGTTTATCTTACAACTTTAATGTAATTAATTTGAAATCAATTTTCTGAAATAAAAAAATTGAAACTTACTTTTAGCAACTCTACTGGCATTAAAAGTATTCGTGCAACGTCCAGTGCAACATTTCCCTGTCCGATAACGATGGCGGTGTCGCAGTTTAAGTCAACCGAAAGGTTTGACTCGTCTGGCAGACCATTATACCAACCGACGAATTTCCGAGCAGCTATAACATTAGGAGTATTCTGGAACGTTACACTTTCTGTCATTTCTTACACATTTTATTAAAATTAAGAATCAAATTTAATAAATTATTATATACACAAAACTACAGTATTTACTCCAAATGCGTGATGCACTTTTTATGTGGCACTAGAGGTCATTACTTCCTTCTCTGTCACTAATTTTATTGCATCATTTTAATGATTTTATTAGATCAACATTTGATAAAAATATTTAAGAGATCCACTTAACCTTGATAGTCTATTACAACAATATTGTAAGTATTCGGATGAAAATTCCAGAAAAAATTGTGCGCGACATTCTTTTGAGAAACGTTGCATTTCCGATTCTTTAAACAGCACTAAAAACGAACGTGTGTGAGAAGATATGTGCCTCAAATTCAGTGTTGATTCAGAAGAGACTAACATAGAAAGCAAACCTTTTGACTCTAATACCATGGAAGACGGTATACAGATGATATAGACCATTTTTATACCCTTTTAAAATGAAGAGAAACAAGTTTCATTAAAAATATACAAATTTTGATAGGTAAATAGGGTATGCTCTGTCAAAAGGTGATATTTTTGACTTCTGATACTGGCCAGAAATGGGCAATCTGAGCCAAAAGTCAAATTTTTTAAATAAGCACAATATTTTTTAATTTAGATTCATATTAAACTCAAATAAGAAAATTTTATTGCAAACATTTTTCTTCCTAAAATACTCCATTGACCATAAAATGATCTCAAAAGCATAATGAACTTTTCTTGGGAAAGCCTTTTTAGAAGCAGTTTCATCGTAATATTTTTCAACTGGCCAAATATTCAGTGTCGACAAAAGTAAAAATTATGCTCATGTTTACATTTTCATTTCTAGTTACATGCCTATCAAAGTTGTCACAGTAATTTATAAAGCCACATCCTTTGAAGTTCCTCAAGCAATAAATTCTTTCTCGAGCAGCATAGATCCTTGCATTGGTAAGAACGGTGCTCAGTTTGAACATTTTGATTGAACAACAGTTAAAATCGGTGCCAAATATTGATAGGTTATGCCAGAATGGTTTATGTGAACAAATCACTACGTAGCATTATTAACAATTATTGTTAGTTTAATAATCATATATAATTGATGCTAAATTTTTATTGTTTTGCCTATGTCGACAGTAAATTAATAAAAATATTCTGTGAAATAAAAAAATATCTTATTTTTACAGTATTACTTTTCTGTGTATCAACATTGTCTGTAAAATATCTCGATACACAGACGTGCAATGCACGTCTGTGTATCGAGATATTTTACACATGAAGATTCACAAAATTTCACATGAAGATTCCAAAATTTCACATGAAGATTCACATTGAATCTATATAAACAAGACATTTACTATATGCTTCTACTCTTCGATTCATTGTAGATACAAGAAAATCTCATACATGCAAAAGTGTAGTGATAATGGCAAGCAAATTTTTCTTAAAAAGTTTTAACACTTTTCATATTTTATCAGTACTTAAATGAAAATAAATCTATTATTGAGGATTTAAAATAATATCAGTAATTAAATAGCTTAATTCTAGAATTTATAAATTAATAGTACAGTAGAGCCTCGAAAACTCGGCCTAATGTGGACCGAAGGGTGGCCGAGTTTGTGAAAATGCCGGGTTATCGGGAATGGAGTTAAAAAAGGATAAGTATGCGTGTTTCCTCAGAAAATATTGTACTATACTTGTATGTATTGTTTGCTTGAGAATAAACTGCCCAAATACCCTTAAACAAAGGAAAAGTACATCCTTTATGAAGGCATAGAGTCTTTACTACATGAAAATGAAAATGAAAATTAATGAATACACTGTGTACAGTAATTTACCTGATAAGACAGACCTCAGAAAAACACTTTATGAGGAATAAAGCTGTCTATAATGAAAATTAATTAACTAAGGATTTTTTTGCCCTGCCAGGGTGTGGCCGAGTTATCCGGAGTGCTGAGTTATCGAGTGCCGAGTTTTCGAGGCTCTACTGTATTTATTTCAAACTTACTTCTCCTGGTATGCCGAGATGCAGGTCTTTTTCGGCTCCGTAACACTATAAAAACATATATAATTATAATTACAATAAAATAGCAACTTTTTAACATGTCTAACACTTTAAAAAAATATAAAATAATGTGAAAATAATATAAAACTTGACAAATACCAAATCTTGGAATAAATTAGAACATTCATAACAGAAAAATCTAACATTTTAATTAATTAATTTTTGTTATTAAAAGTTAATTTTTTTGGATCAGATAATATATTTTTCATTTTAATTCTTCAAAAATGACAGTGAAATTTCTTCAGGCAATTGTTCATAGTTTGCCAGATTGTGAGTTTGAATCTTGTCTTGACAAGACATTCACATTCCTAAAGGTACATCAACATGATCAAATTTCTTATATCAGCAAAATTAAATTCAAGAAAATTTGAAAGCAAATTCTTTAAATTGTGCACAGAGGAGAAATAAAGAATTTTTAAAATGTGTTAGATTGGTCACTCAGTGTGATAAACCCTTACATAAGATAAATATTTAAGTAGTATAAGTAAATAAATCAATTATTATAATATAACAAACATAAAAATAAAAACTACATAAAGAGTTTGGTTATTTCAGCCTACAATTGTCACTCAGATGGTTTGAAATGGCATAATTTCATTGGTCAAGTAGATCCCAACTGAAAATACAATATCTTAAATTTTTTACAATATCATATTTTTTCTTAATGTTAACTCTAAGAAACTATACCGTTCATAGCCGAATACCAAATGGTAATCTGCTAATGAATCATATTTTGCATGAAATGGACCAAATATTTAAACTTGGCACCCTCAAAAACCACTTAAAACATATTTTGTGCAGGCTGGTAACCTTGTATTATGTAATTTTCCTATTCGAATGCCACAATACCGCTGAAGGGGGTTGAAGTATTTCCACCAAAAGTAGTAACCAAAAGTAACAATTACTAATTAATACTGATCTATTATTAATATTTGAAGTGATCTGCATTGGACAGGTTGTGATGGCCCAACTTGTGATCAAAGTTGCTAACCTTAACATCCAAAAGACTTCATATGACTTGTTTAAATAAAAAATCTTGTAAAAATGTGAGAATAGTGTTTATATTTTTGCAACAGATTTATAAACTACATGAGAAGTATGTTCTTGCAAATTTTGCATTTATAGAAAAATTATTGGGCTGCAATTTGAAAAAATTGTACATATAAATTCCAACTGTCGTCATCTGTCTGTCTGTTCTTTCTTAATCTCGACAAAGGAGTTAGATAGATGAAAGACGAGATCAGATATGGAACACTTAGGGGCAGGAGGCCCAGATTACTAACCATATATGAACTTCCAGTTTGGACTGGAAGTCATGTTACATCAATTCAAAATTTCCCCCCCAAACAGAGTTAGATAGATGATCGGCACAACTCTTGCTAATAGGAACAGTATGATGAACAGAGGCAAGACCACCACTAACAGGATTGAGGACATTGTGACTTAAAGTTGCAGTCCAGCATGTTACAATGTCGCAATAAATAATCACTCATTAGAAATAGCTTGGTTTATTGGTTACTGCAATGTGACACCTGAGCCATCTGCTGAGGAGGCCATCCCAGGAAGACTTTTATGAAAAGCTGGACCCTACTTAGATGTTACTAATATAAAGAAAACTCAGAAAACTCCACATGGCCAGCCTGATGATGCCCAAATCCAAGACTAACTAATTACCAGTGTTTGGTGGATTTACCCACTCGGCTACTGGAGAACACATATTAGAATTAAAAAAGTACCATTCAGAAATGAAAAAAACCTAAGTTGTTAGATGTGGAAAATTAAATGCTAACTCATAAATTTTTCACAGGGTAACACTTTCCATTCCATGCCGGCATGTGCTGTGTGCTACCTGTCGCAGTAATGATATAGTGCATATATTTTGTGCTATATGATTGTCACAGTAATTAAATGAATATAATATATATTTTTTAAAATTATATCCTTTCTTTTTGTAAGAATTATATTTAGTTTATTATTTTCTTAAANGTATAGCACGTCTACTTTGTGCTATATCATTCTTGCAGTAATTAAGTGAATAATATACAGTATATGTATTTTGAAATCCCTTTCTTTTTGTAAGAATTATATTTAGTTTATTATTTTCTTAAATTTTTGCGAATAGATGGCCTACATGTAAAGCCAGCAAATTGAACATAGATAAAAATTAATTGATTTATAGAAATCCAATTGATATTTTGACTGGTGGCTAATTAAAGAACGATTCCAAAGCCATAGTTCTAGTTTTTAACATGAGATGTCGCTAGTGTTGTGACATTTAGATAGCGTATACCTTGTACTGTACAGTGTGCTTGGAATTTTCTTTTGTTGATATTTTAGCTTTAAAACCATACTTTATCATCAATAATTGGTATTCCTGCTACGTTGTTAAGAAATCATTATGGAGAATATTGCATTAAATGATATATCAGAAATTACTTCTTGTTATTGCAATAAGCACTTCTCCTCAAAAGAAAATCTTACTATCAAGCACGTAAGATTAGTACATAAGCAAGTCCTGGTGGAGGAAAAGACTATATTCTGTCATGAGACTTCCAAAAGCTAAATGCTTGTAATGAAAGTCACTTAGCGTGCACGGGTGAAAGCCTGGGGCCATTCGGGCTACCAAGTTGTCTCAAATTTGCAAATTCATAACTGTGAGTTATACCAACATCCTATCTGTCTCTTTTCTTTGTTATCACCAGGCTATGAGTCATGTAATTGTAAAATGGGAAATCTATGAAGGAAAAGTGACAAATTGAAAGTATCGTGAGCGTGTATTATGATGTATGCATAGGCGTACGTAGACTAGAGCGATAGAGGAAAGAGAAAGGGAAGAGCAAAGATGAGCGCTTAAAAAGAATAGGCAGGGTCAGATCCTCAGATGTGCGACGATTCTCGAATGAATAGGTGTGTATGTGTGCTGATCTTTGTAATTATAAATTGTGAATACATGTGACTAAGATTATTTTCTTTTTTATTTTGTGCATGTTATAAGTTATAAATAAATACAAACAAACAACACTAACCCGATAACATTAAATCTAAATACCAAAATGATTAATTTACTGTGTTTTTGTTATTTCTTACTCCTGTTTTTAGGTATTTGGTATTCGGCTGAATAGTGATTTAAATATTCGGTTACTATTCGATATTTGGCCGAATACTGAATAGTAACCGAATATTCATTACATCACTAATATATATAGATGAACATTATTTGACAAATTTGTCTACATGACTACACTACATAATAAACACTTACAGGTGCAACATTGACTTCACTTCAGATTTTGTAATTTAATTAAATATGAAGCCTGAAAAGGAGCAAGTAATGAGAAATGCACCACTTTGATTAATGTCAATGTTCTACTAATTTTGGGATTTACAAATTTTCAAATATTTCATGCAAATACAGAGTTCTTGAACTAATTACTAATATTTTATGTCATTGACATCACTTGAGAATGCTTGTGTCAATTCTGTAAGCAACTGCATAAGTTTATTTCTCTTGTAATATTACTGGTAGTAGTATTTCAGAGATTATACCTTAACTAATACTTGTAAGCTTTTCCACATTGTTCTTCATCCAAACTGTCACATGACAATAATGCATTATGGTGATTGGTTAGAGCTTTCAAGAACTCAAAACTAATCAAACATCATTCTACTTTAGAATTCTCTAATTCAAGAACTTTGAAAGGTCAAATTGTCTTGTCTATCAAAGTAGCTTGAATATAACTTTCACATTCAAGAAATTTGATTGTTAAGATGGACCTTAAGATTTTTATGGAACTTGCTATTTCACTAGAAAGCACTGAAGTCACTTTTTAGTACAGTATAAGCATTTATAAAAGTTTGAGTATTAGATCCATTTTTTCTATGTAGGGGTATTTACAATGGAAAGCTTTTCTTGATTTTAGAAGAATCACATTCTACAAAAGCTACCAAAAGCCACGAGCACAGAACAAATTTCAGAATGGTAGTAGTTATCAAAGCCATTTCTTCAACCCTTAATTCTAGTATTAATAGTTGATTTTATAAATTCTATGCAATGCAAATTTATCAAAATAAAGTTGACAAAATTGCAAGAAAGATTAATTATAGTTAATGCCAATTTGTAAACTATAAACTCAAAAATCTCTTCAATATTATAATTTTTAGTGGAAATAAAAGTGGAAATGCAGGACATATGACTTATGGGTCTCATGTGCAATGCTGTAGTATAAATTTAATGTTTTTACAAATTTCTAATGTTACAGCATCTTTTCAGACACCTCATATAAGTATTATGTACTGAAAATTGACACAAATACTAAAAGCCGATTCTATTTTGTACATCAAATTAATATATTTAAATTAGTTTTTCACTATTATTTTACTCTTCTGCCAAACTTACCATTATCACAGCATGATATGCACTTCTCAGGTCACTTAATGTTATGTCTTTTCCCACATTCACATTTCCAAAGAAACTGAAACGTTCATTCGCTGCAGTTTTCGTAAAGGTGTTTATAACATTCTAAAATAATAAACTATAAGTTGGATAGTGTTTTGCTTAAACAAATAAAAATATAATTAAAAATAATAGTGAATTCTTAATGCTTAATAATCAAACTAAATCCATTTTTGTTGGAATTAACCCAGTTTTTGCAGTGTAAGAAGAAACTCAATTGGAGACGTTCTTTGAGTTACTGGATTTAAGAAATGAGAAGTGTTTTGGTTCAAGTTTTGTTAATTTCATAGCAGATATTAAGAATACATCTGCTATGTCAGATAAATTCATAATATATTTATTCATACATGTAAATCTATCCCTATGCAACAACAAGGATAAACATCTGTATAGCACTCATAATCCAAATACAATGAATATGAATATATATATATATATTTTAAGGCCTTCTTAGTGTACTAAAAAGGCATTTAATTCATACCCATTGTGAATTTGACCAGGCCCACAATGGGGTGGTCGGGTAGCAAGGAATGACATCCAACATACCAGAGACAGACCACCTCTCAAAGAATTCCTGAGGTTTTTAGACCCCCCACCAGATTTGGTCCCAGACCTCCAGAGTGACAGGCTGATGCCCTAACTGCCTCAGCCATCCAGTCAGTAGACAGCTGTATAACAGAAGAAAAAATGTCAAATAAAACTAACATTTATAAATACTTGTCAAGAAATTTTTTGAATAATAATGAAGTTTCTAATTAACAGGTTTAGAAGAGGATCAGAACCCCAGAAATTTTTATGAGCCATTCAACTTAGACATGTCAAGTCCCATCCCTAATTATCCAACTACAGTCTATCTATGGAAAGAATCGACTCAAGAGTAAGGTCACACACGATGTCAATTCACTTAAACCGATCGGTGCATTCTCGAATGATGTTGGCACTTTTTGTTTAATATGTCAAGCAATATACGAATGCTTTATTTTCTCTCACTAGATGTCAGGACAACTTTTCATGTGTTAATTTTTTATAGCATGCATTAATCATAAAGAAACATGCATGTAAAAAACTACTATAGCAAACTTCCTCATATTCCAATACCAGAACATAAAGCTTTTGTAACATTATTTGTAATGGCGGTGACATGTTTAACTAATGAGGAAGAAACTAGAAGTAACTTACCACAACTAAATGATCAATGACTGCTGCATTGGTTAATACTCAAGTTGATTCTTTCCATAAACTGAATGTACTTCCATTGTGAGTCTACTCAAACTCATGGTAGGCATGAAAAACTCTTTATTGTTTGAAATAATGGTAAGAATCTTATATGAAGTGTCTTAATTATTAATAAATAATTTTTATATTTAATAAGAATTTAAATATTAATTATTAAAAAAATAGTTTTAATAAAAATTAATCCTAAATTACCTTAACTTCTGGATGGTCAGGAGCTACTCCAAATCTAACTAAACCAAAAGGAACTGGTAATTTTTCATATAAATCAACTACTGCCAAAGGGTGCTAAATAAAAATAAAATTTTGAAATGACAAAATATTTCATATTATGCATTAAATAATAAAATTTGTCTTAAAACATTATTAAAATCAATTTATTATAGATTTCACATATGAAATAAAAGTAATAATTATGAATTATGCATATTGGATTGTACAATTAGTTCATTCAGATTTTCAAATTATAAATTTACAGTAAGAAATAATTCTTTACCTGACTTAAGAACTAAATAACTTTACATGTAAAGAACACTATTTTTTGTTTTAACTTCCAAATTGTAAGCATTATAAGCTTTTTCTCGGGTCCAACATGAATTTTGCCATCAAGGACAACTGAATAACCAACATAACAAGGCCAAACAGGCTGAATGGCCAAATGGTTAATGTGGCAGTCTACTGCTCTGGGAAATCTCAGATCAAATCCAGACAGGTCAGAATACCCCAGGAATTTTTTAAGAGATCTGTTCAGATATGTCAGGCCCATATCTCACCAGTTAGTTGCCCCATTGTGGACTTGGCCAAACCCATAACGGTCTTGCTAAAATGGCCCTCGTAGTGCTCACAGCTATCTATATCCAAGCAAAAAAATTTAAATTATAATAATAAAAAAGACCTAACAACCTATAGAAGTTACTGATATTCCACAGACCCAAGATCCAAGAATAATAGGTTCAAGACTATTACCTCAGTCATCCAGTCATACAAATAACATTTAAACTATCCACAATTTGACTTGACTGGGCAAATAATTTAAGGTAAGGTTTATAAAAATGTATGAATTATTAAAATACAAACTTAATTTTTTGAATAAAAACAAAACCTTGTCAAACAGAATTTAATTCTTTGTAAAAAATATCTTTGTATGAATCAATAGCAATAATGCAGAATCATCTAATCTCGAGAAAACCAGATAATTTGTGTACAATTCACAAAATATAAAAAATTATCTGAAACTCATTCCCTTCGGCACTTAGAGCCAAATAAAAAGATCACAATTTTATTTACAAAATTTGAAAAATAAAATAAAACATAACATTGGGCGATTCCTTAAACTTTATTAATAATATCATATTTCTTAAATCTAAAATTAAAATATTTATTTCATTCCAAAAAATAAAATTTTGAGAAAAACTTATTTCATTTTATATCCAAATAACTTAAATTTGAATACAGATTATAATTATATTGACAAAATCATCAATGTTCAAATTGTCTACCTTCTTTTTGCACGTACAGAGTAATGTAATACTGCAAACTACATTCCACATTTGAAAGTATCAGATGTGACTTATCAACAGCAGCCTAAATTTGTTCTTTAAGACTATCAACGGTAGGTGGACATGTATTGTAAAGAACACCTTTTAGATCAGCATGTAGATATAAGAGGCTATGAGGCGACCAAGCCCCCCTAAAACACACAATGATCCTGCTTATACTTTCACGTTTACATCACGTTTGTCTTAATTTCTTATTGTGCATCCAATTCTCTTCCTTTGCATTACTCGATAAAGTAAATGTAGTACAGATTATTAATAATAATAATCACTAAGTTCAGAGAAGTGAAAAAAATTAAAACGATAAATTTGACTGTGTTCACGTAGGCAGTCCCACGAATACCGGGTTTATTTTCGCAAATTTTTTGGCTCGCTCCAATGATCCTGGCTACAAAACCACTTCGGATTATCACCGAGGCAAAGAAATTCTAGAAGTGCAAAATTTTGGGATTTAGACAACCATTCGACCAGTCACGCGTCTAATCCATTCTCTGGAAAAAAAACTGCATCCAAGAAAAATAACATTAATTCAAACTGTGTTTTAGAACTGAGAATGAAGAGATTGGAAATTGAGTGAGACAATACAATTTCTGTACCTTTAAAATTTGTTGAGCAGTGTAGAATCCCGCAGGTCCACTTCCAACGATGCACACTTTCAACTGTTTTACAGTACATAAATATCTTTTCGATTGTATTAATTTCGAAAGAAACGAAGACTTAATTAACATTCTGAACATTTTTCATGCATAATTTGTAGTTAAATGAAAGTTTGGTGAAAACCTAACTCAATTATTGAGAAATATCTACACATTTAAAGTGTTGTAATGTTTCCTGGATATTATTGTTTTATCAAGGCTGAAAAATCAAGGCAAAATACATTATTGTTATAGTAACAATCGTTATGATAACATTAATTCTTCACATTACGACATTCAGCAATGCCATTTTCGTAAAACGAAATGACTTATAGTTTCCTTACTGAATAGGGACTTAAGTTTAATAATCATAAGTATAAACACATTTGATTTAATTAACGTTTAAATTTAATAAATTAATAACAGCATTTAGTAAACACACTCCTCTCTCTAAACACGTGAGAATGTATCAGCGCCACCTGAGAAAATTTCAGCATTAAAATTCTTATATTAAATTCGAAATTTAATACAGTCAAACCTCGGTTTTCGAACTTAATTCGTTCCTAAAAGCTGTTCTAAAACCGAAATAAATTTTCCTATAAAAAACAATATAAAATTGGTTTATCCGTTTCCGACTCCCAAAACGAAGTCTTAAAAAAATATGGTTTCCCTTTTTAGCTGTAATTCGTGCATAAAAATGCCTACACATGCAATATATAAATGTATATACGATCTATATCTATTTTATATACTGTACTGTATATATTGATGGCTGATGGACGAGCGGTCTAGGTGGAAACCTACCGCTCTGGGTACCTCCAGAGCGCTAGGTTTCCACCTAGACCGCGCTGGGTCGGCCCAATCCCTCACCACCCGGTGAGGGATTGGGCCGACCCATGATGGGCTTGCCAAAAGATGCAAGCCCATCATGTACTCTTTTAGTCACAGGGTGGAAAGAATTATTAAAAAGTATATGTACAGTACACAAGGCGTACATGCATATATATTTTGATATAAAATAGGTTTTGCTTCATAAATTCATGTTTTTATTAGGTATTTCTTTAAAAAATTCTTTTATTATATCCTATAATTTTCAAAATCTGCATTCCAAAATTAAAAAGAAAGCTCGTGAAAGAATGAAATTCTATTCGAATTTAAAAGAATTTTTCAAATATGTCAGTTGTACTTATGCTGATTTATTTATTTCTAACGTCAAAAATATCTAATGTATTTTGCGTACACCCGAACTTAGACTTAATTCAAAATTTTCAGGTAATAAGCACGAAAATCGAGCCTTCAATTGCCGAGGAAATTCGACTAAAAGATTCCACTTTCGTGCGATTTCGTGCTTACGGAAAGAAATTTCATCTTCATCTTAACGAAGACCATTCTATACTTTCTCCCAGTACCAAAGTCTTCATTAATGGCGCTAAAACCATTCAATTAAAGCTAAAAAACATACCGGGCTCTTCGATCTACACCGGAATTGTAAGAGGAGAAAATCAATCTTCAGTTAGTGGATATTTTCATAAAAATTCGTTCGTTGGACGAATAGAATTGACGGAAGACATTTACTATTTAGAAATGGCATCTTTATATTTAATACAAGACAGATATAAGGATAAAGTTATTATTTATAAACAGAAAGACGTCCTTCCTCCTGGATGTAGAATGGTAAATGGAAGAAGAATTTGCGAGGAAAGAGTGATGAATGATGTAATTTCTGTCGATAAAGTGAATTTTTCTGAAGGTTTCAACGGTAAAAAGATTGTAGAAGATATTGTGTTTGTAGAGTAAGTTGAATTTTCACTTTGTTTCAGTAAATTATCGAATTTGCAGTTATAGATACAGTTCACACTATATTACACCATTCTTGAAATGATATAATTATTCTATAAACCACACGATTTCAAATTAGATCATTTAATTTATACAATAAATACAACCAACTCGATATTTATNTGCTTTAATATTTAAAACTTATTCTGAAATGTTTGCAGTATGCATCATTAAAGTGCTATTAAATAACCCTGTTTAAATTACATTAATGAAAACATAGTTATCAGATCAGTCATTTAAATTGTATTCCATAATAATTAAGGGTAATGTAACAGTACAAATTGCATATTCTAATGAATAATTGTTGCCTAAGAATCATTTTATTGTAAAATAAACAGTAAATAAAGTTGACGTTGATATTTTTATTTCTTGGTATTGTCTACTGTTTATTAATAAACTTTTATAAATATATTTGTTTAATTCTCTATAAAAATAATTAAATTTAATTTATAAGAATAACTTTCCTCATTTAGGAACCTTATCTCTTGCAAACAGTTTTGAAGGTTTACTTTATATAACATGGTTTTCTTTTCATCTAATTTTAATTTATAAAAATGTTTACTCTGGCTCTCCTGTTTTCAGTTTATGTATTGCAAAATACATGTAAAATTAAATACTATATATTCTTATTTTAAAAAATATCTCCAAATTTCTTCGCTAATTTTGCATCTCGAAACTAAATAAATTTATCCTCGTACTGTATCATACGAACAATTGATATATCTTTTTATTTTAAACCCTATTTAGTTAAAGGATTTAATTATATGTCGGTGTAACATCTAAGTCAAAAGATACTCTGAAATTATAAAAGGAATTCCGTGGCTCGAACTCAAAGGAACGTGCAGTTTACTACTGCACGTAGATAGCATGAAATATATACCGTGACCTTAGAACTAAGGACCCAATATGGGGGTTGCATAGGGAACATTGGTGTCCTGACCTTGTGTTAATGAAAATTTTCTTCCAAACACCAATCACGTGAACCGAAAAAGCTTAGTTTCCTTGTCTGTTCATAAAAAAAAATTATTTTTGCTTTATAAATTCTTGTTTCTTTATTAAATATTAATTAAAAATTTTTCTGCATTTTCTCCTATAATTTTTTTTTTTAATTTCAATTCCAAAAATTTAAAAGAAAGAAGTCTCGCGAAAGAGTTTGTTCTTTAACGAGATTGTTTTTTTCGTTCGAAGTAGAATTTAAAAGAATTTTTCAAATATGTCAGTTGTACTTGTGCTGATTTATTTATTTCTGGCGTCAAATGTATCAAATACATTCTGCAAACACTCAAATTTGGACTTAATTCAAAAGTTCGAGATAATAAACACGAAAATCGAGCCTTCAATTGCCGAGGAAATTAGACTAAAAGATTCCACTTTCGTGCGATTTCGTGCTTACGGAAAGAAATTTCATCTTCATCTTAACGAAGACCATTCTATACTTTCTCCCAGTACCAAAGTCTTCATTAATGGCGCTAAAACCATTCAATTAAAGCTAAAAAACATACCGGGCTCTTCGATCTACACGGGAATTGTAAGAGGAGAAAATCAATCTTCAGTTAGTGGATATTTTCATAAAAATTCGTTCGTTGGAAGAATAGAATTGACGGAAGACATTTACTATTTAGAAATGGCATCTTTATATTTAATACAAGACAGATATAAGGATAAAGTTATTATTTATAAACAGAAAGACGTCCTTCCTCCTGGATGTAGAATGGTAAATGGAAAAAGAATCTGCGAGGAAACAGTGATGAATAATGTAATTTCTATCGATAAACTGAATTTTTCTGAAGGTTTCGACGATAAAAAGATTGTAGAAGATATTGTGTTTGTAGAGTAAGTTGAATTTTCACTTTTTTTTTGTTAGTAAATTATCGAATTTGCAGTTATAGATACAGTTCACACCATACATGGAATGATATCATTATTCTATAAACCACACGATTTAAAAATTAGATAATTTAGTTTATACTTAACATTGTTTGAATTGCGATAATTGTATCATCATCGTCATGGATTTGTCTTTTTGTTAAAATTATAATTAATTTGCGATCTTTATACAGCATTCAACATTTGAAAACAAATTTTTCATCCGTTTTTCAGATATAAACTAGTTAAAGCATTCGACGACGTTTATACGTTTGATATTAATACATTTAACTTTATTTAGCTCATTTTTATGCTTTAATTGATATTTCCCCTTGAATTTTTATATTTCTACTCCTACGAGAATGTATTTAAGCTTATCTAAAGTGGACGCCTGTTTCCATTGTTTTAAGGTATATAGCCATTTATTGTAATTGTACCAACCTCTCCGGAAGGTAAAATCACATTAACACACAAATTATATAATTAATTTATGTAAAATAGGAATTTAATGTTGTATTATAATAATATCATATAAAAACCTCCCGATTTTTGGCCAATATCAAAGGAAACATTAAAAAAAAAAAAAAATCGTTTACTCATTGTGACACTGTCAAATGCCAGGCTGCAATTTAGAAACTCACAACATAGTGCGAATGTATAGGTCTGCAATTTGAAAATTGCAGTCCAATGAATTCTATTGAGAATACATAATAATCATAAATCAGTTGATATTCACAAGGAATCAAACCAATCAGTTTAATCGAAATTAAATGAATTTCTTTTACAGAAACCAGTTAACATGCGATGTGGAGGTAGTGGCAGATCATACTTTTGTGGAATTCTTTAAAGGTTCTCGGCCACAGATTATTGCCGAAATGCTTTATTATATGAAAGTATCTGATAATATCTTTAAGAATACGGATTTAGATGATGATCTGGTACCAGAAGGAATAGGATTTAACGTAGAGAAAATAACAATTATCGAAGATAAGAATCGACCCGATTATCCTCTTAATTTTATCACTTCCGATAGTACCAAGTACTTGGCCGAGTTTGCCGAAAACTACAGACAGGATTCTTGCATAACATTAGCTTTTTGCCATAGGGAATTTGAGGGTGGTGTTATAGGAAGAGCGTTTTTAAGTAAGTATTATAATCGAAATATTTAGTTTAATCGAATTTCTATACCATTAAAAGATTTTTTGCAAATTACAGAAGGTTTGTGTCAACATTCAGTAGAGAGTAATATGAGTCCTACTAATATGAGGCCTACTAATGTGGGTATCGCTACTAATCGGAGTAGGAAAAAGGCCGTTCCGAGGTCGATAGTTAGTATTGCTTTAGCACACGAAATTGGACATCTTTTTGGAATTCCTCACGATACACCGGGAAATGCAGTATGTTCTCCCGGAGAAAGAGATATAATAAATGGGAATTACCTTATGTATCCTATACTTGCCAATGGACATTCACGTAACAACTGGATTTTTTCTCCTTGCAGTAAGTCGAATCTACTTGAAACTATTTACAGTGATCAAGGTACGTAATATTGGACACTTTTAAAAGTATTGACTATAATTTCTGAACTGACAGGTTTCAAAGGTTTTAACTTAACAAATTCGAGTTTGAGTCTGTTTTAAATTCTCGTAAATTTTCGTTTGTAGCCTTCCTGAGCATTCACATTTCACTCATTATAAATTAGGCTTCTCGTAGGAGGCGTAATTCAGCTTCAGTATGCTGATACCATGCCGTACAAAACTAAAAACGATAAATATTTTTACAGCACATTGTTTGAGGAAGAAATCAAAATCGGTGTGTGGAAACGGAATCACCGAATTAGGAGAAGAATGCGATTGCGGAAGGCGAGATACCTGTACGGAAACGGACAAATGCTGTAATCCTCCAGGAAGCAAGGCAGAATGCACTCTGAAGAAATACACGGCAACTTTCTGTAGTCCTCGAGAAGGAGATTGCTGTAACGAAGAATGCGAAGTTATTCCAAAAGAAAAGAATCATAAATGCTTTTCTTATATTCCTTGTCAAACACCTATTTTAACCTGCGATGGAACGTCTCCAGCTTGTCCTAGAATCCCTTTAGCGGATGGCACCACCTGTTTAAAAGCTTCTGGCACTTGTCGACGTGGCGTTTGTATAAGAAAGGCATGCAGTGATAATGATTTAGAACATTGCGAATGTCCGTCTAAGAACGACGAGTGCCATATTTGCTGTTTAGACGAATCGAGGAACTGTCGAACTACTCAATCACTCGGACTTTTCCAACGAAATAGGAGAATATATGTAAAAGCTCCTGGAACTTATTGTCATAGTGATAAAGGAGTGTGCATAAGGTAACACGTTATATTTACTTTTATAAAATTCGAGAAGTTAAAGTTGACTTCTTCACGATATTTAAGAATTTGCAATATTATTACCGTGAATTTACTTAAAATATACTTTTTGAAAATGCCAAGCTCAAAATCTTGTCACTAATTTTTCATACTATTTTATCTAGCCTCATCTTCTTCAATTCCTCTTATTTATTTTCTGATTTTTGTTATTTTTACAGCAATGGAACGTGTATGCTTCAGAAACGATATTGGAGTGGAAGCTGGGATCATTGGTTTGAAGTATTTTGTCCATTCATTTTTTTTCTAACTTTGCTTATTTTATTCCTGTTTATAGTAATTAGATACCAATATCTGACAAAATTCATCGTTTGAAAAGTGTAAAGTAGATTTGTAAAACTGAACGATTTATATCTGAATCCTTCTACCTTAAATATGAGATTGTAAGAAAATTTTAAATAAAAATAAATAATATCGTTTGCTTTTGTTCGTATCTGGTGTATTATAATACTATATTTGATACGTTCGCTAATTTTGGAAATGATATTACATTAGAGCATCGATTATCCGACCCCGATTAACCGTCACCTCGGTTAACCGACCGCGTTCTAGTCGGCAAATTCAAATGTCCGCTAGTGATGTGGCGCTACAATATTTGGCTATGTCTTGGCTACTTTAATAAAACACGCAAAAATTTAACAAAAGTTAAATTTTTGCGTGTTTTAGCCGGCTACACTGGCTCGACCATGAAAGGTAGGCCAGTATTTAAACGAGGCTTAATTTTTTTAATTATGAGTGGTTGTGTTAAGATTAATCATATTCGTTTTGTAAACCGCGCTTAAGTTAAGCGTCATCTGTTCATTTTTTATGTCCGGTCATTGAAAGACCGCTATGGATCAAGTGTCAGTTGTATATACAAAAGGTAAATTGTTTACAAACTGAATCTTTGTCTATTCTCTGATAATGTATACTTTTATTTCGTCAATTGTTCACAATAGCAGATGTCTTGTGTGTAAGATCCAAGTCGGATGTGCGCAAGCTAATAAATGTTCATGTTAACCGCTTCCTCTCCGATCAATTTTTAATTACATTATAATTAAACATAAAAAATACTTAAAACTGAAAAAAACGAAAGAAATGCGTTATTTTTGAAGAAAAAGCTTCAAACTTTATTTTCCATTGTCTCGCCTTTCTGCGAAGTTTGACACTGATGAGTCATTGTGTTTACAGCTGGATGACCTTGAGAACAGCTGGTGTTGGATTTCCCGGGACATTCTCATA